AGCGTAGATAAGATGGATTTTGCATCTCCAGGCTATGGAACAAGTAATCCCTAAATAAAAGCATATAAAGAAATAGCAGCCTTACTTAAAATTCTTAGAAAAATTTAGGAGTGTTTCTTGAACATCAGCATTTCAAGAAATCTATTTATTCCTCTCAAATCCAAATATATCTGTGACTGGACTTCTTAAAATGATGCTAAAGAGCATCTGTTAGTCTGAGCTTATGTGTGTGGAATAGAGATGAGTGAGAGGGAGGTTCTTCACTGACAAAGAACAGTTAAAATTATTATATGTGGCATTATTTATTGTATTTGCTGTGAGGACTAGAAGTGTAAAGAAAATCTGTTAGTTTGAAGGTTGTTACACCTGCTGAATCCTCAAGTCAGCACAGGTCTGGTGGGAAGAATATTCCTGCATTTCAGCGTATTGTGAATAGGGCAACTTTTACATTATTTTCCTGTGCTGCTGGATCTGTGACAGGAAAGCTGTACAGGAACACTGGGCAGTCGAGACTGGCCTGAGTGGGAGCATCGTGTCCCCACAGTTTGGTGCTTTGCTGTATGTGCAGCCCGGTGCTTTCAGCCACTGAAATTGTACAGGAAAGCTTTAAATGATATGTGGGTTTTTATTGTTAATAACTATGCCAGGTAAAAATCCAAACATTTCTTGGGATTATTGAAATGACTTAAGTGGAGAGAACACATCTGGGAAATTGCACTTGTGCTGGAAATATCCATCTAACTTTGGATACAATTTTAAAGTACCTAAATAAAGCAACCCCCCAGTTTCTTCAAGGGACTGATGTTCCCAGCTCATTCATTTCAATGGCATTTTATTACTGCACATTCTTAGCCAAGACTGACATCCCTGAATCTGACTTCTCATTTAAGGGCCTACATCCCATTTATTTTCAGTAATACTCAGCCACGTAAGTCCTTGGGTCACTACTGAAAACGAGACTTGGGGACTATTCACAAATGGGCTGATCTTCCATGGCTCCTTCTGTAGTCCCAAGGAAGATGGACTCTTCTTGTAGGATGGGCAGGATGGTGCTGGGTGCTCTGAGGCAGCTCTTGGAGGATCCCATGAGGTAAGGAATCACAGGCTCCCAGTCTAAAGCTATTCCTTGTGTGCTCCTCCTGTGGGCTCCCATGCCAGGCTGATGGGCTTGTCCTGGTGCCTCCTGGTATGATAGAGTAACTTGCTGCACTGTGGCCACACAGGGTTAAAAACCTTTTCCTTCCCATTACTGAAGGGAAAACAGTTGAAATGTACAGCTTCTAGTTGCTGTGTCAAAGTGGGGTCTCCACAGGAGACAAGGTTTTCCCTGGTTTCCAGTAGGGATTCCCTGGGAGATCCACTGCCTGTTGAGGCTCTACCCTGGATTTCTCAATTTATCCCCTGCTGGAGAGATGGTGCTGGAGAGCTGAATTCAACCACCAGCACCAAGTGGATTTGAATGATCTTCCCAGCAGCAAAATGGCACCTTGTTCTGAAGTCTTGGTGGCCTTGGAGAGTTTGGTTCCCTGGGCCTGTTCCTTCTGTCCCGGGCAGGGTAACCCTGTTGGACTGACTCTCTCCATGGAGAGCAGAGTGTTTACTGCCTTGTATCTGTCTCAGCGTTGACACTCCAACAAAAGGTTAGAAATCATGAATGCATCCCTTTATTCCTGCTCCACAGTGCCTCTCTTTTTTTCTGTGTAAACCCTTCACTTGCCTCTTGCCCAGCCTTTAGAAACGATGATCAAATGCGAACTTTCAGGGGTTATTTATAGCTTAGCCTTTATGGAAAGAGAGAAAAGAAATGATTAAAAAGCAATTTTACAAAATATTTTGTTTTAAGAGAGAATTCATTGTGTTTTAAATCACTATATTCATTGTACTGTCTAGACTGGCAAACAAAGAAGATAGAGCGTCATTCAAATTAAGATTGTGAAATTCTTGGTGACTGGAATTATGGATTTGGATGTCAACCCTCCAACAAACTATTTCTGAACAGCAGTATTATCGCTTTGCTATATTTAAGGCTTTGTTGGAGACAGAGCAGTGCACAAGGTTGATTCGATTCAGTAATGCAATTCTAATGTTCCTTTGTTTCCCATTTCATTATGAATTCATATTTTCAATGTTCTGTTCCTCTTTGTCCCCAGAAAATTGTTGAAAAGACTCTCCTCTGGGAGTAAAGTTTTTTGTTCAAACTAACAATGACCAAACTGACTTTAAAACACAGAAAAACACACAACTGAAATGTGAATTAAGAGAGGGAATTAATTTAGGATATTTTGAGCAACATAGAATGGGTGAGTTGTTGAAAATTGCTGGCTGTGTATTTTTTTGACATGTTAATTCCACATAACTGTGGTAGTTGCTGTGAGACTTTAATACTGTGGATTCTCAAGGATCTGGGTATTTTCTGTAGATTTAAAAACACAAAAGTATTTTAGCAGATAAACTGGAAACACTGCTTGGGCACCTTCCTCCTTAGCTCAAGGTGGCTGGATGAGGGGACCAGGCCCTGTTTCCTAGTTTAGATCAGGCCTTGAGGGACCAGATTTCCTTTAGGGACCTCTCCATGGGAGCGGTGACACCCTCTCCTGCTGCCCGACAGAGGATGGTGAATCTGTGTACAGGGGTTTCAGGGTTGGGGAGACTTCACAGGGAGTGTGGGAAGCTCTCAGCAGCCTTGTGGAGACTTGGTTCCACCCTTTGAAGACTCTCCAAAGCACTTGGTCTGGAAGCTGGGCCCCAGCAGGGCAGTGGAGGCACAGGTGGGGAGGGGGGACATGTGGAGGGACCCTGAGCCGGCCGGGATGCCCTCAGCCTCCTATGGCTGGGGGAGCCTGTTCTCTCCTGGATCAGCCCAGGAGACCTGGGGTTTGATGAGTAACAGCGTAAAAATAAAACCTGTGTGGAGATGGGTTTATCTCCAAGCTGGCTGACTGCCCAAAGCAGCAGCAAGGCTTGTGCTGCACTGGAAGGCGTAAGAGGCCCCAGAGTAAAGCACAACACGAGTGTGTGGAGCACTTATGTCAGAGGCAGGACATATCCTGGCAGTGGTGCTGTTTGTGTCCTGGTCTGTTAACGCTGCCCAGGCAGGCCTGAGTGTGCAGGGAGCAGGGAATGGCAAAGTCCATCCCTCCCTTTCAGTTTGATTGGATGTTTAGACACTTTACATGTCTTGGTTTTATTTCCATTCAGCAAGGTGACTCTTCCATTAGTGAGGGAAAGGGCTGCAAGGGGCTTTGCCTTACATTTTCTGTAAGACACAATGGAAAATCAGTATCCATTGTAACAGAGGGAATTGGCATTTACTTGTAGGCTTTTCTTCTGTGTCTTCATTCATTTTTGTTGGTATCTCTAAATCCAGCTGGCCATGTAATGGAGTTGTAAGAGACTGACTGTTGTAAACAGGGACAATGCTTAAGTGTTGTCAGCGTCACCTGTTAAACAACAGGGAATAAAATGCCCGTTCCTCTTACTGGGAAGGATATCAACCTTTCCATGCCTGTATTTTAATCTGGCGGGTGTGCAGACTCTCAGTGCCAGCAGGCTCACATGTCCCATGGAAAGGAACACACTATCTCGCTGGAAGTGTTATTTCAAGGGTGTTTCTTGGGGAATCAAAGTACAATCAACCTCTGCACATAGGAAGGAGAATGGGCATATGAGAGCACAGAAATATTCCCTGCTAGTTTATCAGCAGCCCTAGCAGAGTAAAATCCTGACTGCACACACTGGCAGTCTTTTTACTTCTATAGAACCACAATTTCATCCAGTATCGACACCCTGAAGTTGACAAAAGTAAAAAGTAGGTGTTCCATGTTCTAGTGGGACATTTGGACTGGCAGGATGAAAGGACACTCCCAGAACATGCCAGGTAATACTGCAGGTTCAGTCAGGCAGAGCTTATCCTTGGAGCCTCCCTGCCTGCCCTGGGCTGTGACACTGTGCTGACGTTGCTCATCTACTTCTAAAGTTCTAGGAAATCCTTGGCTGTGAAGTTCTGGATTAGTGGAAAGCACAGATTTCACTACAGCAGATATTACAGTCTGTAAAATCATCCAACCCTTCTAAAAATGCAACTGAAGCAGTTGGGTGGAAGGTTCCAGCAGCAGCACAGGCTGCCTGTTCTCCAGGCTCATCCTGATTCTTAGGCACTGCATTAGAGCAGTTTCAGGGTCGTGCTTAGAAACTATGAACATTGATTTAGTCACACACTGATTCTCGAATCCTGATATTTAATGCTTTTAACATTCTTTCATCTAAAAGCTATTGCTTTGATGCTCCTTGTGAAATCACTGAGTGCCTCCTGGCACTCCTGAGAGCTTGGTCCCCTGTGAACTTCAGTGGTTAGTATCTCCTTCCAGGAGGATTGTTCAGGAGAATCTATGGAAAATCAGAATCTCACAGAGATCAGGAGAGGAACCAAATTACTCGTTTCTCTCCTTTCCGTAAGTGACTGTCCCAGACTCCTTCTCTAGGGGGTTCTGCAAAATCTGACTTTGTTTTGGCCAAAAGCAGAGGAGGATCAGAGTTTGCCTCTTACAGAGTGTGAGGGAAGTTGTGGGCTCCAGAACAGGCCTTTCCAGGTTACCTTTAGCTTCTGGAGCACCCTCCAGTCCCCCCTTGCTGCAGGGAACTGATACTTTCAGAATACCATTAAGGGATCTGATGTACAGTATCATTTTATTTGAGAAGCTCCCCTCTGGGGACACAGTGTTTAACATTTCCTTTGGTTACTGTAAATAATAAAAGATAAGTCTGTTCCGCCTGGGACTCCCAGTGAGAAAGAGGAACAGATTTTGGTGATGAGGGGTCTGCAGTGCTTTGTTCTCATGACTACTATATAATGGGATTGAACATATTTGCTGCCATCTGGCCCGTGCAGCCGAAACAAAATACATCACTAATGTTCCGATTGGTTTTGAAACATCTTGTTCTCGTCAAAAAGTATTTTAAACCAAAACAGGCTTTTCCAGTTTGTGTTTGTCTTTTCCTAGGAGGCCATGGTGAAAATGGGGAAAATTGGGAGAGTTGTGCAGCCCAACCACGAGCACAAAAGGTAACACTGGGATTGTTGTGTTCCCCTGGGAAAGTTGGGGTGTATCTCTTTATATCCCTGTTCAAGGACAGTAGTGTTGAGCACCCAGATTTTTTAAGTGTCATAGTACATTATATTTTTAAGATTGTTTACATTATATTTTTAAGGATTATTTCTATTAAGTTTTAATTATTTCTGTTATATTTTTAAGTATTATATTATATTTTAAGCGTTATTTATGTTAAATTTTTAAGGACTATAATATATTTTAGGGGTTATTTATGTTACATTTTTAAGGATTCCATATTCCATGGGCGGCGGCGCGCGGGCTCCCCCTGGCGGCGGGAGCGGGTCCGCGCGCCCCGGAACCGGGAGGGGGGACACGGCGGGACACGGCGGGACACGGGGGTCCCCTCGCCACAGGACACACACTGAGTGTCCAGGGAAGAGAACAGAGCTGGGGAAGGGTCTGGAGCACCAGGAGCGGCTGAGGGAGGTGGGAGGGCTCGGCCTGGAGTAAAGGAGGCTCAGGGGGGACCTTCTGGCTCTCTGCAACTCCCTGACAGGAGGGTTGAGTCGGGTGGGGATCGGGCTCTGCTCCAGGGAACAAGGGACAGGACAGGGGGAAACGACCTTAAGTTACGTCAGGGAAGACTTAGATTGATGTGAGGGAAAATTCCTTCATGGAAAGTGTTGTCCTGCCCTGGCACAGCTGCCCAGGGCATTGGTCGAGTCCCCATCCCTGCAGATGCTTAAAAAACATGTGGATGTGGTACTTGGGGACATGGGTTAGTGGTGGCCTTGGCAGTGCTGGGGGAACAGTTGGACTTGGAGAGCTTTTCCAGTCTGAATGATTCTGTGCAGTGCCAGTGTCTCCCCACTCCCATGGCAGAGAACTCTGGGGAAAAGCTGTCTGGGAAGCAAAGCTGGCTGTAGGGAAAAGGTGTAATTGCAGCTTGAAATCACTCATTTGGGTGGAAACTGTGCTCCGGCAGCGCATTGGGAGGGCTCTGATCCCGGCAGAAGGTGTAATTAGGGAAGAGTCAAAGTTTCTTTGATGATGAGGGAAGGCAGTAAACGTGTGTATTACAGGGGGTTTAGATCTTCATATCTTGGACTTTGTTGAAATTAACTTCCTTACACAGATTTTATGACAAGAAATATGAAGTATTTTTGAAGCTTGTGGAACATCAGAAGGAGTATCGCTCCATCATGAACAGCTTGTGATCCCAAGGGATGTAGTCTGGGAACAGCAGGGATAATGAATTTCCAGGCACGTGTGATGTGGGTAATTTCTTCTTACTGTACCGTCCATGTTAAAAATATACTTTTATAATTAAAGTATACATTTTAATTTTTAATGAGAAATAAAATGCACTCACTTCGCTGTGAAGCACTGGGTATTTCCTGTCAATAATCCCTGCACGCCAGGGACAAGGAATATTCATCTGTTCCAGTCAGAGAACACAAGACAACCATCTGCAGGTACCCCAGTGCTTGTATTTGGACTGGCAGGAACAGCACAAGGAACAACATGACTCACTCTGATGGACTTGAGTGCACAGAGTCACTGTTCGTGTAGGTAGACTCCATCTTATGCCCTTAGCTTGAGAGAAATTCATTCTTTAGCATTGGCATAGGCTGTAATTCCCAGTTAAATGCAAACAGAAGTCACACAATAAAAAAATTGGACTTGGAATATTTGGAAAATAATAGTTTCTGCTTTTTTTTTTATGTTCGTAGTCAGTCCTGAAAAACATCTGGTAATTTTTTTAAAGAAACAATGCACTTCCTGCCTTGTAGTTCATGGAAAAGCAATTGTTGCCATTTCCAAAGTACCCATTGTTAGAAGAAACAGCTTTACAAGTTCAGGGACATAATTAAAGACAATGAAAGTTGATGGGAATAAAATGAAGAAACATCACAACACAAAGAGTAAAACAAGCAAGAAAATGACTGAGACACGGTGGTGTGTCAGAGCTCACAGCTCAAGGGCATGATAAAATATGGCAGCTGGGAATACAGGGAGGGGAAAAGCAGTTGGAGAGCAGTGTGTTGTAAACAACAAATATTCATAAATTTTAATGTATCTATTTCAATATACAATTAATGTGTAAAAAAGAAGTCCACAGACTCCAAATGGATAGCAAATGTACAGATTATATGGGGACAGATGTGCAGGGTTGGCTGGCACTGTACCAGCGCTTCTACTCTTTGCAGCTCAATACAAACACACACACAAACAGCTTCAGCAAAGTTTCCATAAACTTCCTGCTTTTTATATCATTATCATCAAACTGGCCTTGATTCCTCAGGCTGAACTGGTACCAAGCTTAGTGATCACAAGGAGTGTATGGAGTTTAGAAAGGAAACAAACAGTCACACTGCCTTGGTGTAGAATGTAGATGCACAAAGTTCAAGGAATCTCTGTACCTTACGTGGGCTTGTACAAAACAGTTACAGGGAGATTTGTTCACATTTCCTACATGGCTTTTTAATGCTTTTCTCCCCGTGTAATAGTTGTACTTTATAGCTGCATTTCTGTTGCAGGACAGCGTTACTACCAGTTTCACATTATGCATTTTAAAATCTGTTCCCATTGCAGAGCTGTAAGAAATCCATATCTCAGTGTCTGGGAAATCAGCTGTGATAACACAAACACTGGTACAGGATTTTGCAGTGAGATTGTCTGACCATCCTTTTGTTATGCAAGACTTAGCAAATTGTACAGCTTGTTGAGTTCTCAAATTAAAATTTAATTCAAATTGAACCAAGATGTAAAATGTTAAAGCTCAGGAGTTCTAGCACTCTTCAGCTGCAGGTCGATGGGCATTTTAATGTTAAGCACTGTTTTTGGCTTTAGGCACTTTCAATTTAGGCTCTTTGGATGACGAGAAGTTACAGAAAAATGCAACAGGAGAGAGTTTAGCAAGTGCACAGTGTAAAACTGCCCTCTGAGGTTTCACACTGAGTCACTTGGCAGTGCCAAGCACTGCTGAGTCCTGATCCAGCCCATGTCACCAGCAGAGGGACAAACCCTCCCCAGTCCAAGAGAAGCCCGTTCACTGTTTGGTGAAGTTTGCCCAAGGGCCCCAACTGGAGCCAGTCAGGCCCAGGCCTTGCCTCCCTCACCCACTGGGTGCAATTTGCTGACAGATGTTTATCATGCAACTTAAAAGAAGGGGAACCACCATGTCATCAGCTGCTCCAAGTATCCTGCAGAGAGGCCCAGGCTTCACATCAGATGGAGAAGACAAGCATATGGTGGTTCCAAAGAAGCAAACAGCACCTCTGAGGAAAAAAATCCACGAGACACCCCAAGGTGAAGATTCTTCACAAGGCAAGAGTCAGGAACAGCAGCATGTCACACAGGTAATCTGCAAACTGAGTATTCACATGACATAGGTTATTTTGCATCCTGATGCTTGCAGTGTTTCAGTTCAATGTGTCTCTAAGCATTTTCAGATTCAAATCTCTTGAATGAAGAACCTTTCTGTGCTGCATGAATGCCCCTATGCTGTTCAATTGTTGTGCAGTATCCAGAGGAACATTTCTAAAAGGGATCCCCACTGCCCCAGACCTTGGAAAAGAAAATATTCTGCCTGACATTGAATCCTTTTGGGAATTGGGTCTTAATGGCTGCACTAGTGTGTGCCTGGATTGAGAATTTGGCACCAAGTGTAGGCTGTGAGTGCTTGGAAATGAGGCCTTGAGTCTCACCCGGCTTTGCACAGGAACTGTAGGACTAAGTGATTGTTCCTCTTCATTAATGCTGTTGGGTTGGGTTAAAAATTAATGTTCCCCTCCACGGGGCGTAGTTTAGTCGGTGGGTTAAAACAGACTCCACAGTTCTTTCAGGCTCCTTCCCAGGATGTGACAGGAGAGGAAGGATGTGCTTTGGTGATACCTTACACCCTGTCAGGAACAGGCCTTGCTTGTGCCTTTTACTTTGCAAAGTGGCTGTGCCTTTGCAAAAGTAAATGGAGCCTTTGCTCTTCTACACTGATATGTACAGAGATACACAGACCAAGGGAGGGTTTCCACAGTTTCTTTCCCTGTGGATAGCACCTTATTCTTGAAGCTCCCTGGATTGTTTGAAGCCCTCAGGAATACAGGTACCCTGTGGACAGAAGCATTGCTGCTCCATCAAAGAGTTGTCCAGAGCCAGTGTGGCTCTCAGGGTTGTGAGGGCCAGTTATCCCAGATAAACCAAGAGGCACTGCCAAGGAGCAGATGTACCTCTGGAAAATCCAGTTGTCACATCCTTTCCAATTCTTCTTACCCAGACAACTGCTGATTTCCAAGTTCAACACAGAGAGGTTTCAGGAAAGAGGGCAGGAAGATGAGGCTGCACGTGTGGTGACAGCAGTGGGTGACACACACTAATGTCAGGGCTGGCACCACCAGCAAAAACAGCAAAGCACAAACAGCATCTGATCAGAAGCAGCACAGCTTGACTTGCAGCTCCTGGGGCAGTGAGCAGTGTGACAGCTTAGGGGAAACAAAACCTCTCAACAATTAAACTGATCAAACCTGACAAGGACCCCAGTGCAAACAGCAGCACAACAACGAGCTGCCACTGGGATGGAATTGTTCTGTTGAACTGAACAATTACCTTTGTTCTTCAAAATAACCAGCAAGCAGTTTTTTGTAAGTCTCCAGGAGCCCTCAGTGCAGGGTTTCTGCACCCAGAGTTACTTTGTCTGCTGTCACTGGAAAGGGGAATATGGGATAAACCGTGCTTGAAATCCAGTATAACAATGGTCCTGATGCCATCAGTTACATGTTGTGTACAAGGACTGGGGATGTTAAATTTGGCCCAAAACTATTTTTATGAACCTTGCTCTGACTTCTGCTTTTTACTCTTGTTTTTGTTCAAGTGCAGGGTTTTCCTTTGTGACTGTTGTGTTTTGTTTGCACTCACAGACCAGCTGTTTGGGCCCATGGCTGTGTTTATCCCTAAATCCCCATCCAGTCTGTATAAGCCCAGTCTAGCACCCAGCTTCCAGCATCCCCTTGAGCTTTTGCATTTGCCAGCCATCACACCTGACTTCAGGAACTGCTTTGCCCCACTGGATCCAGATCCTGTCTGGTGATCCAGTGGCTGCACTGCTGTGTCTGTGCTCCATCCTGGTGAGGTGGACAGGGCACTGATGGGTCCCAGAGTTCTCCAAGGCCTTTCACAAAAGAACCCTGTGGAAATTAAGATTTGCTGCATGTGGAATCCTTTGTTTGGTAGAGGAAAGGAAGGACTCCTCTGAAGTTGACCTATTTGTGCTTTGGTGCATTTTTCATAAAATAGACAAAATCCTGTTTTAATCCAGCTCACTCTACAACCTTCTGAGGGAGCCTGTAGGTTTCTCTAAAATACCTCTGTGGTTATTGTTAATTAGAAAAAAATAATATTGCTCAAGGATCGCTTTTCAGTTGAACTTCCTGAACATATGGTTCAAACTGAAGCTGAAAAGGAAAACTTCAGGACAAACTGTATGAATTACTACTAATAATAAAATCAGACATTTTTTTATAAGTCCACATTAATCTTCCTTAAAAGCTTTGGGTTGACCACATTTTTTAAATAAAACTTTTACCGGAGCGGAATTTATTAAGAGAGCTCAGCGTTGCCTTAGCTCTGATCCACAGGGCATCAAGAGAAGTTTTATTGCTGATTTCAGTCACAGCAGACTTAGATCTACACTGAATGGTTTTGATAAGCCCAATGTAAAGTTTTATTGGTTTAAGACATGAAAAACAGACGTTACAGAGAGCACTTCTACTCTATAAACACAGTCATAACATGTATAATGCTTTGCAAGGAGTCAGTGCTTTGGAGTGTAAATAATGGTGTGTGGAGGAAAGTAAAGCCTGGCTAAACACATACAACTAACAAAACCAATATAGACCAAGCTTGTACATGGTACTTCTCCTCTGCAGATCTCAAATTAAGGACAAATAGAGACTGTTTCCCTCAACAAATAGTCTGTATCATTAGGTCATACTCACAGATGGGAAAGGGAAAATTAACCAGACCAGGAAAGAGGGAAGTTGATGCTCTTTGTTGTTATGTCTGTCCTTGTACTTGAAACTATAACTACTGTGGTATTATTTGAAACACATTTTGAGGCCATGTGCTCATTGTTTGTCCTGGAAGAGTTCTATTCAAAGCCGCCTTTTCCTCTGTGTTATAAAACAGTGTTAGAAAAACATGAAACAACATAAAATATTACACGGTGTCTCTCCTGAGGTGTCCTGGCTGTTGGTGATCCACTGATGCGTCGTGGCCTCAGAGGATGGTGATGCTGGCAATGGTGACAAGGGGCTGTGCTGTGTGAGCATCATTTCAAATAGGGGAAAAGCACGTTTCCTAAAGATAAAAATGTGTTTTTATTGCACCTTGTTCTTCCTTGTAAATATAACTTGCACTTGCTCTAAGGTTGTGGTTCTGGCTCCAGTGGTGCAGAATGTGGGCCTTAAAAATCCTAAAATCCCCTTTATAAATGGAATTATGAACATAACTGCCTCCACTATTCTATGCTTCATCTTTGTATTCACTTGGAATAACTATTGAAATGCTGTAATCCCAACCATATGGCTCAGAGCCTCAGAGAAGGCATTTAGCAGGCACATTTATCCAGAGAATTATGGTTTTACATAGATTACCAGTGGCTGGAGATGCTCTGGGGAAAGACAGGAGCCCACATCAGGGGCAGTCTTGACAGAAGGACCCTCTAAATCTGATCTGTCCCTTTCCTGTTAAACAGATCCTGGGCTGGAATAAACACTTACTGAGCATGTAATGAGATGTCTTTGAACATTTGTCCCCTATATGACCACAAAGATTTACTTAAAAAGCAGTAAACAGATTTAAAAAGGCTTTATACATGGCTAGAAACTAACTTACTGAATTGTTTAATATGGACCTTCCGTGATTTTGTTTGTTTAGAAAACTTTTACAGGGCTGCAAAGCAATGTAATTATGCCTGGATCACTTCTGCTTTATTTTAGGCAGAACCAGACCTAAGACTGGTGTGTCTTACTCCTGATTTCCACCAATATAAATTAGTTTTATGGAATAGCTGGATTTTTATGCTGATGATTAAAAAGACATGCTGTCTTCTGAGAATTGAGTTCATGCTTTCACAGTTACAAATCTGTGATTATTGGACTGTTGATTTTTATAATAGGTTGGGGTTTTTTTGCATAGTTGAATACAAATTTTATAATTTTCCCATTTTACCCATTCCACAAATTTGTGTTGTAATTTAACAGTATACTATGAGAGGATCTATTACTTTTTGTCATCCTTAGACTTCTTGGGCATTTCAAAAGTGGCACCTTGTAATGTGAAAGCAATGAGCAAATAAAAATTTGCTGGGGCAGCTGGAGTCCCTGTGATTACTGGGTTGCCAGATTTGGAGTGATTCCTGGAAGAGTAGTAGTACAGAGTCTTCAATAAATTAGTAATTTGATTGACATATTCAGTTCATTAATAATAATTTACTGTGGTTAGCAGAACATCACAGAAGAACAAATGCCACACATACCTGTTACCGTTTCCCCCCCTCCTTTTTAGTCATGTCAGTCACTTAAATGCACTGAAATAAAGTCCAGTGCATTCTCTGCCTTCCTTGGGTGGCAGAACAGGATTCTTAGTGTGTACCATTGGCTGGGTAGCAAAAAAGATCCTTTATTTAAGTAAATTAATTGCTTCCAAACAATCCATCCCTTTGCTTAGCAAAGTCTGAAATTAGTAATAACATTAAGCTTTGATTTTGGAGTTGGAAGAGAAGAATTCTATAAGCCTCTGAAATGATAAAGAGGCATTCTCAAATGCAAAGTGTATTATCATATGTTCCATTGCCACAGCCACGATGAGATCAGTCTTTGAAGTCAGAAATTAAATACCTGATTGGCACCTGTCTACATGACAGATCAATGAATGCACCTCCAAGTATCTGACTTTTTTACAGGATAGTGGGAAGAACCAGATGACTGGGAAGATTCAAGCTCATTTGAGAACAAAGTGGTTTTTTTAATTAGTTTTTCTAATATAATAATTCTACGAAAGAAGAGAAAGGTCATTGTGTAGGTCTGCCAGGTGAGTGTTGAGAAACCAGGTCTCTTGCCAGAGCCATGTCTAAAACTATGTCTAAACTCATTCATCAAATGAATAATTTCAGATCAGCACCGCTGATACCAGTCTTTCCTCCTAGAATGAGGATCTGTAAATAAGAGGAACTGGAGGTTTCAAAACAAAGTGCCAGAATGCAGACTCAATGATCTCAGAGGGCTTTTCCAACCTAAACAATACTATGTTTCTGTAACTACTGGAAAGAATCTTTCTCGTTTACTGTTTGCGAAGTTATAAATGTATTTGTTTCCAGTTCTCAAAAGACGAATTTCAGATGCCGAAGGCCTTTCCATTGTATTCAGATTTTCTTCTCCCTGCACTGATCAGATTCTCTCCTGATGAGATAACAACCACACAATAGCAAAGCTGGGATGGCCATGTAGGAGTAACTAAACCTCAGGATGGTCCAGGGCGCTGTGGGGTGAACTCCAGGCAAAGAGGCTTTTTTTAATTCAGTGCTACCTGAAATGCATCCAGCACGTCCCTCTCCTGTATTTTGACTTCCCTGCAGCACTGAGGGTATTTGCAGATCCAGAAGAGCATTATTTCAGGTATAAGCTGTGGTGGTTTCTGTCAGCTGGCACTGCCCCAGAGCTGTGTTTACAAACACTGCACACATGACATAAGCCCATTAGGTATTTACTCTTTGTTTTTGCACAGTAATAACACACACATTTCTTTAGCTTTGTCTCGTACAACAAAGGGAACGAAATGTGTTTCTGATTATGCAATAGATACGGAGTCAAGGGAAACCCAGCATTCCCAGACCATAACCAATGGAAATTCTGAAAGGCTCTCCTGCCCTTTGCAGCCTCAACACGTTGAAACCTCTTGTGTATTTTGTATTAGCATGTGTTGTACAATAATTAACTTATTATATGACTCCTAAGGGACAAGTGATTATGGTTTATTTCCAGATGACTCATGAGCAAGTCTGCAGAAAGAGAGTTTGTGCTGCTCAGAAGATAGGAAAATGAAATGTTTAGTGTTGCTGATGATCCCAGTTCTGGCTGCTGAGCTCAGGCACCGTGCGAAGGCGCTGGAAACTCATCAGCTTCAGTGCAATGTCCTGTCGAGACCCTGAAAATGCTCAAGCTCTGCTCCCAGAGCATTTGAGTTAGGACTATGAATTACAGCAAAGAGCCAGGCAGTGATCCTGCTCTGGGTGAACAGTATATGCATATATGGGAAGAAGAAAAATCATTTAAATGCAGTATCATGACACCACATTTTTTATTTTCTCGTGATCTCTGAGTGAATGAAGCGAAGTGGGAAACTCAGCCAGCTCCTGCAGTGTGACAGAGGATGCAAAAAAAGGCAGTTCTTTACATACATGGTTAAGCTGTGGACATTCTTATGGATGCTAGAGGTTTCTGAGCCCAACAGGTACTGAGGGCAAGGTGGCCCTGGTTTCACCCAGTAGAACCATTCCTTCCCCCAGTTGTATTAACACAGCATTTGGGAGGAAAAAGAGACTTGGGGTCACCTTCAACAAAGACATCAGTGGCTTAGTCTTGTCCTGAGTAGATCAGCAAGGAAAAACATGCCAAACCTCTCATTTGTTTTTAACAGATTATATGCACATAATCAAATTTCTGATTTATTGAGTCCAAGCACTTAAAATGATGCTCGAGTTGGCTCTGTCCTGGTTATAAGGGGCCCTCCCAGCTGGATGTGATAGAAGGAGAAGACAGATGATATCTGACATCGCTGTGAGTCTGCCAGAATTAATTTACCCCTTCCAAAATCCTGAGCTGGCCTTTGAACATTTGAATGAGCAGATTGAATTAGAGATTGCAGGAATGATTATGGCAGTTAGGGTTTGTGTCGTGAGGCTTTGAGTTTTTGATGGCATTAAACAGTCTTAACAAAATAAAATATTTAGTGTGACTTTGCGTACAATGACAGATTTTTAGGGAGCTTCCTCTCATGCAGTAGTTCTGTGTCCAATTGTAAAGAGCACAATTAAATTTGTCATTCCTCGTAGCATTTCAGGCTGGAAACTCTGTGACAGCCCATAAAAGCAACTATTTTATAGCCTTGATTTTGATCTTGGTGCCTATATATTGATGTTTCTAACCCCCATGTTCTTGGGAATCCTGCTACAGCAGAATGGGATGGTAAAATGTTTAGTTCACTAAAAGTCAATTTAATTCATTTGGAGGAAATAAAAAAAAAATGCAAACAACTAAAACCAAACCCCAAGTTCAGCAGCAAATTATTCTGAAAAACAGACTTAGAAGTCAAAGATAGAATTCAAAGATCCAGAAAAAACTTTTAACTTTTTCAGGAAGAGTCCTTAGGTTGATATTGCTTTCTCAGTGAACAGGTGTTCACTGAGGTCACTTTTCTACAGCTCAGATTTGCAAAGGAATTCTCCATGTAGGTACCTCGTCAGGGGCCAGGCTTTGAAATTGTGATGGATTTCTGAGACAAAGGAGATATTTTCAAATCTTGACACATCTTTTGGCTTAAAATGAAAGCTGAGCATTTCAGAAAACAATCGTAGTAGAACGCTGCAAAACCAAGCCCATTGTACTAAACCCCAGCCATCAGATATGAGACATTTTTAATTCTTTCATGCAGAAGAAAGCCATGAAGCACTGATCAGTTTGTTGACTATGAAGCCAGAAACTCCTGGGTATAAACCTTTATCTCTGTGCCACAGCTCAGCTCACAACATCCTCCAGCTTTACCACAAGGAAATTTAGCTTTAAAGCATCAGTGGTGAGTCCATTCTCATCAGCATCTTTGAGGAGAGGGAATTAAAGTTTAAAGAGCACTTAGCAGATTTGAGTGCTAACAAACAGTAATTCATTTTTGCAAGAGAATATGCTGTATTTAGTAAAGCAAGCCATGCTTTGAGGTTTGGAGTTGTCAGGAAGGTGTGACAGTGTGTGACCTCTGGCCAGCTTGCTCTGACAGGTGAGCAGCTGCTCAGGGTCTCAGTTACAAGGCCAGTAAGATGACCAGGGAGGAGACACTGGACAGCTCATTATTTGACAACACACATTTAATCTAATTATAAGCAAATTCTAAACATGACATTTTAAAGGGAAGAATTGATTCATGCAGATTTTCAAAAAGTAATCTAATGATAAAGTCTAAATAAATATTTCAATTATTTATTCATAATCAGTCTAATGAACACTTTTTAGAGTGGTCCAGGACACCTATGTGATGTTTGGCTTATCATTCCCCTTTCCAGAAATGTTTGAGAGGAGTTGACAGTGTTGGTGTACAATCATTCAGCAAGACCAATTATGCCTTATTTGTCAATTATTAACTTAGTTGCCCAATGGCAGGGGGCTGACAGGTTTTCTAAATTATATCTATGAAAGAAATGTACTTCTTTCCATCTCAAAATAAAACGATCCCTTTCTAAATCTTCTCCTCCAAGATACACTTAACATCTTGAAAAGATACTTGAACCTGATAAAAAAAAATTGCGTTCCTATTTTTAAATATTAACTTGATCAAGTGCACACCGCAGGTATTTTGATCACCTGACAGAGTAGCAGCTTATCGGTGCTGTTGTGAAACAGCCCTAAAACTTGCCAGACACTTACAGTGCTTGGGAATTGCATAACTGCAGAATTAGGTTGTGTAATACAACATTGTCCAATTCCTAAGTGAAGTGCAGAATTTAAGCAGAAGGTCTAATATGCTAAAATAATTTTAATTGATGGGCATTTATACTCCATAGGGTTTTTATACTTTGTCATGATCTGTGGTCCTTGAGAAAGGTTTGATTTCTGTAAAGGTGTTCTCCAACTTAATGCAGAAAAATTAATAAGGAAACCTGCTCCTGGCTTGGTTTTGTGCAGTGTTCACCATCCTGATCCTGATTCAACAAGGCACTGAAGCACAAGCTGAATTTTCAGCCCTCAGGTAACACATAACCTCTTATGTGTCAGTAATATTGGAATAGAAATACACTTATAACAGCAATAATGCCCCTGGTATTCCTGCTGGAGCACTGATAAGCTAAACAAAGCACTTTTCAAAGACTAATAACCGGATGGGATTTGTAGCATAAACAATGCTCCTTGTTAGTCACCAGTCCCCAGGGCATCTTCCTCACTTCGTTACAGACAAATCAGTAACAAATGAAATGCTGTGTGTGATTTCCTGCCCTGGCTGTGTCTCCCTGCTCGCGTGCCAGTGTGAGAGCTGTCAGTTATTATTTATCCATGGCTGTGTTCACATCCACAGTGTGATTTAACTACTTATTAAAGGTGCCAGACTGGCAGATGCAGAAGCTGGAGCAGTTTTATTATCCAGAGAAGTGACACAGTGTGAGCAGTAATATCCTTTCAGGATGTTCTCGGAAAATGCTTCACCACAATGGACTCCTCAAATCCTTCTCTCCAGCCTTTTCCCAGCTTCTCTACTCCAAGTGTTAAATTCAAAAAGGCTGCTCACAGAGATGTCAGTTAGTCCTGTGGTTTTTAGATGGGAATGTGGATACCCTGGAAAATCATTTTGAACACATTAAATCTATTTTAGCTAGGCCACTTGACCATTGGTTAGTACTAACTCAAAAAAGGACCTGAATGGTTTTAATACAGAGGTGAAACCTACTCTAACTAAATAGTAGCAAAAAAGATTATTCGTAAAGGGGGAATGAGCCCAGAGGATTTCCTTCTGCTGGCCAGGGGCTGTGTGCACAGGCCTGTGGCTCTTCTGCAGTAACTCAGACATGCTTGTCTTGGAAACTGGAGGCTTAATTCTGCACTGTTTCAATAAGCAGGATTTTGGGTCCATTTTCTTATGTCACTCTAAGCCTATTATTGCTTGGTTCAAAGCTCTTCCCCACCCCTGGGCACAGCTGGATGCAGGAGAGCAGGGAATCTTCTTGCACTTCCATCAGTGCCTAGGCTTTAATGGGGAAACTGAGATTTTATTTGGCTAAACTCAGTGAATTTGACTAGAGAAAGGCTGTTAAATAACAACAGGTTCCTTTCACACAGCTCCAGAATATTTTGAGAAAGATACCGGACACAAGAAAATCCAAACTTCTGTGAATCTCTACATTAAATCAGTCAATCCATGATTGCCCCAGGCCAGCCATTCCTGTTTCCTTACTGACTTTATTGGTCCCAGCACATGCCTGAAAGTTGCAATCCTGGATCCACTTTGCCAACTATAGGTTGGGATTTTTGGTGCTAGATCTTTGCAGAGTCCTTGAAGCACAACTGCAGTGCCAGTCACAGTGTTTGCTGATAATGAGCTTGTTGTTTGGCTCTGGAGTTTAAGCTGGCAAACACTCACATGCCTGAATTACTTTGCACAGTCCAGTGGTCCCATCAAAGCCAACAGGTCTGTATGTGCCAACCACTGGCATTACTGCATTATTAATTCCCAATTTTACAAATCAGGTTTCTTGATCTACTCCACAAAAGGCTACCTAACCAAAAACTGGGCCTGTGAAGTATAAAGATGGGGCTGAGAGGTACAAAGGTGTGAAACAGCATTCCCTGGCAGTGTTTTGGAGCAAGGCCTGTGTAATGGCCTTTGACCACTGAGGGGTTTTCGACTGAGACAGTTTTGCATGATGCACCCTCAGTGAGTCCCATCTGTGACCCTAATTCCATCCTGGAATGTAAGACTGGGAGCTGCTGGGTATGTAGGCAGGCTTCACAGAATTCTGCCCAGATGAGGAGCTCAGCTGAGAACCTGTTCCTGTGCACGAGCAAAGCACGTCTGAGCAGCTGCCAGTGGAGGGCAGCAGGAAAGCAAGGGAGGAATCTCTGTAAGCACAAACAGAAGGAACTGGCTGGTAAAATCAGACCATAGTAACCTTTAGCTTCACAAATGATGCAAGTGCAAAATGCAATTTTGTTAGAAATGCCAGTAAATACAATTGCAACTTCCCAGCCCTGCTCAGAGGGAACAGTCTGTTGAAGAGACTAGACCCCCAGCTGTAGGAATTGGCTTTCCCTCTTTGGAATATACTGTATCAAGAGAACCTTCAAATATGAAAGAATATATGTTCAAAATTTTTAGGCAAACTGAATCTTATTTTCCAAGAAAACCAAGAAAAACGACATTGATATAAAAATGATGGGAAATCTGAAATCAGTTTTGACAGATGCACAGTAACTTTTTTATTTAATACATAAATATTGCAGTTAGTATCAGAATAATTCATCCTGCACTTCACATACCTGTAGCTCTCCCACTCTGATTAGCTGTGGTTGGGTTTGAGACATTGCTGTGTTATTCAATAGCAAGTGAGAGCTGTGACATTTTCACTCAGTGTTTCTATTTTTCAACACAGACTCTTCTTCAGCTAGAGAATACTATTTAAATAATTCATTTAAAAACATATCTTTTAGTAATTTTTTACACCAACTTACAGATGTTGAGAAAGAAATACCCTTTAACAAGTTAGCTGTTGATTTTCCACTTAAAAATAATGAATCAAGTTATTAACATTTTATTCAGTGAATCTTCTATGCTGATAAAGTTTATGAATAATAAAGATAATGGTATATAACTGGTACAATGGAACACAGAGTTTTGAAAATTATTTTGTTTAAAGAGATTAGAGATATTACCAGAATTAGTTTCTCTAGTAGTACGTACCAGTACCCTGGTACAGAATCAATCTATGGGGATTTTCTTTTTGGAAATTAAGTTTGTGATTTCCCTGATCCTGCAAAAAAACAGAATTCTGAGCTTACTCATGGAGTAATCCCAGACTGTGGTGAGAACTGAAAGTATTTGGACAATATTAATTAAGTGTGAGAATATTCCCAGGATCACAATCTCCAGAATGGCCTTGTTTGGACACAAACCCACCTGCCAAGCTGGTGCCTTACAAGTCACCACATGGCCCCGCCTCTTTGATGCACCTGTGGAAAGAGGATCTCAGAGTGGGAATGTGGATTTGTTTGTGACCAGCACGCCTCTGTCACAGTTCATATCCCAGTCCTGCATTTTTTCTCATGGGCACCAACTGAAATTGTATCTGAGACATTTAATACATGTGAATTTGCAAAGCCAGGAGCTGTTACCGTGACAGAGCAAACAGTTCCATGATGTCAGTGAACGTCAGTGGAATGCTGGAACTGCCAAAGCCCACTTTCACTTGTGACCTTGGTCAGTAAAAAAGATAAGAGCGCTAAAATAGAAGGGCAGGTATCAGGGAGAAATAAATGAAAAGGCAGAAATAAAAAAAACACAGATAGAAGATTGACAAATGTTAGGGAACGACTAAGGCAGCAAGAGCAGGCCTGGAGGGGATGTGACAGTGGCAAAGCAGGGTCTGGCTGAGGAGAAGTGTTGTTGCAGAGCTGTATTTTATTCTGCTCTTAAAAGTTCCTGATTCTGAGGTGTTGCCCTGAGAAAATCGAAGTGGATCATTCCTTAAAGATGTTAACCATTTACTCTCCTGCTGTACAGGGCCAAAAGGTACAATTCCAAGACCTGGTCTCTTTTATGAGCACAGGTAGGTAGTTTTCCACCTCTGACCTGCTTTGTCTCCAGTATAGCTTTTTATGGAATTTAATGAGCTATCACAGCTATTGGCTCTGTGGCTCTATTTCCATCTTTTCTCTTTAAGTTTATCAATGCCTATTTCACTGACATATGAGAAACCTTAAATAATATTTGTAAAAGCAGTTGCTATTTTTTTCTGAAACTGCTGTAATAAACTAAATATTATTATTCTGTGTAGAAGGTGTGGATGCATTTTTACTCTGCATGCACACACTCGCTGTATCACATGGGCTAACTGCACCTGAAAGTTTGTAACCAAGGACCCCAGAAACTACTCCAGTCAAAACTAAATTAACCATAAAACAGACTAGAAATGCCAGCCCAAGCCTTCATAGTTTTAATGAGATGACTATTTCTTACCAGTATTAAATCTGTGGGGAGAGGGAAATGTTCAGTGAGTTAAGATGTGCTAAGAAAAGTGTAAAGAAGAGCATAAACGGCTCAGGAATTCCAGGAATCCCACTGGCTTAAACAGTCTTTTATTTAAAGCAAATGTTGTCATAGTTGAATGACTTCCAAGAAGGGCCTCAAGTGATGAAAGTATTTCCATCTAATGTGAAAATACTTGAAAGATGCTTATTCCCTGTGAAAATATTGCCACCTTTCAGTAAAGCCTGAAAACAAGACTCCTTCAATGAATATACTCTTGTAAAAGGTATTAATTTTCAGAATTAATATATGAAATATCCAGAATTCCTACTGGTTTGATAATAACAGATTCTAACGACTTTCATCTCCTAGAACAGCCAAATTAATTCAGAGTGTTTTACAAAACAGATACTTCAGTTACAGAGTGAAAAATTTCACATTCATCATCATGGCATTGCTCCCATTTCCCTCGGGGTATAACTGACCTGGAAAGTACTGTGGAGCATCTGCAGGGAAAAGCAGTTGGGAAACACAAACCTGCATGAGACCAGCAAGGCAATGAGAACCTCCAGCCAGTCACACAACTACAGTTCACATTAATGGCTTTTTATTTCATATTTTATGATTTTTAGGTGTTATGTTGAATAAACTCCATTTGATTACAATAGATTTTAAATTGGTCGAATTTGGAGAATAAGCAGATAGTCAATGCCTTTTTCATGGAAATAGAATAATGTCCAATAAACACAGAGCTTGACTCAAAAGAAGTGGGAGTGTTTATGCCAGGAAGGTGTAAGAGATTGTGACAGGACATGAAGGGATGTGTGGCCCAGGGAGTACAGCACGTATCAAATCAGTTTGTACTGTGTAATAATTCACTGCACACATTTGGGGAATTTGTTTCTAGTTTGTATATCTGAAAAATTCAAACACGCCTCGGCACCACAGAACACCAGGGGGCTTATGGGTTGTTCCTAAAGCTTTTGAAAAAGCTTTGAAAGACGCTTGGGAGGTGCAGACTTCCATAAATCAAATCCATCAAGCTGCTAAACATGACTGAAAAGCTGAGGAATGTTTTTTATCTTATGTTTTCTAATGGCAAGAAACGTGCAAGGTACACAACTAACCACTAAGGGTCACTGTTTGGTGTTTTCACATCCTGATGTCTTTCTTTCCAAGTGCTTAGAAAACCCCTTTTAGATCCAGTCCTGTATATTAGGATTTTCCAACAACACTATTTTTTAAACTACCAGTGAGATGCATATGTGCCACACAAGGTATGGGAAAATTCCAGTGTCTGGATACGGAGCTTTCTTGAGCAAGGCACCAAGTCATGTCTGAACTGAATATTGTTCATATTACTGGATACGATGATGTAAGTCCCACTGAACATAAACCCAACCCCTTAGGAATCTATTTTATTTTTATGAATAGCAGTTAAATAATGCCATTCTTCTGTTTTGTTAAGAAAGTTAAATAGCCCTCACTGAGAGATTGTCAGATGCTTTGTCAAGAAGGCAAGAGATGCACTATCAAAATGAGTGGGCACATTTTAAATAAGTCCCTGTTGTGAGAAGTAATTTAACCTGACTTTATAATGTAGTAACAGTGGATATCAGACATCAGGAGACTGAGCTGCAGTCCTGCCATGAGGTGGAGTCCTGGTGGCCTGCCCTGTTTCTAGGATGTTAATATAGGTCATAATCCTTGACTGGCACTAACCCAGAATGTGCTGACAGACATTCACAAAAGCTGTAGCTCATGAAGAAATCTCCAACCAGGCTTAAAAAATAAACCCAAACCACCTTATTCTGCATCAGGCACAGAGATCCCTTTGTTACACTTCTGCCCCACGGCTGAGCTCCCGGCACGGCTGGACAGTGCTGTGGTGTTCCTGATGTGCCCTGAAAAATGTGGAATAGCTGCACAGATCTGTTTGGAGCTGTATTTTATTTCTCTGCAGGTTCAGACAAACCCTTGCTGTGTGCTGACACTAGTTTGTCTGGGTGAGTGCTCCCTCACCCGAGCCAGCCGTCTGACCTGGATGCAGCAGCCGGGAGCACACGGGTGAGCCGATCTCTCCTGACATAATCCCAGATTACCAGACCTGCACAGCCTGCCTTGTTTTTACACAGATCTCAGCCATGCTCCCTGCACCAGCCACACTCTCAATAACACCTTTCCTGCACTGCCATCCCTTAGGAATAATAATTTCTGGATGCTTTTGAAAGAGGAGCAACCCTGAGCCTCACCTGGTGCCTCCACCCATCCCTTCTGTTCCACCTCAGCCCTGGGTGCAGCAGTGTCACAGTCGTGCCTGTGCCTGTCCAGGGACCCCATGGACGTGGACCGTGCCCTGTGGACTGAATTCCCACCTTGGCCTCAGAGCTGCCTCATCGCTGTGCACCTGCCCGGTGGTCACAGGACTGTACCTGACTCTGGTCACCTCACTGGGCCTCACCCTCACCGGCTTCCTGGGCTTTACGCTGGCAGGAAGCGACTGATGTTGGGATATGACACTGCCTGAGAGGGAAAGGACATCAAATTATGGAACCTGTAAGGAAATAAAGAGGGGTAATATAAGCAAAAGCTAGTAGAAATTATAGAAGACCAAAAATACTAAAAAACTAAAATGAGCATGCTCAACAGTGCAAATCCCAGCCCAGAACTATCTGGGATTTTACTGTAAAAACCTTTTATTCCTTATTCTGTTTTTAATAAGGATTTACGTTAATCTTCCATGGCAACCAAGTCTCTTTAAGAACCTTTGGTGAAGGAAGTCAGTAATAGGGTTTCCAGAAATCAAAGTCCGCTCTTGAGCCTTTATCAATTCTGGACAGCACTTTGAGGGAAATAGTCATGTAAATATTGTCCATGTCATGACCACAATTTCCATCTCTGCAAGGAAAAGTAGAATCAGTAACAGAAAATTAAATTATGTGTCTTGAGGAATGGCTAAAAAGGAATATATAGTGCTTGTAACAGCTATTACTCAAGATCTTTAGTGTATTCTTAGGCTACCTTAAACACTAATGTGTTTAATGCCATTCTGCACATTCCAGTACAGTCAATGTAAGAATCTTTATAAAACAGAATCAGCTAACGAAAAATAACGGTTCAAATAAATGAGTAAAAGAGGAGATAGAAGTAAGTTCTTTTGCTGAAACAGGAAAGGCTCAGAATAATCCCATTGTTTTAGTGTAAGGTAGAGATTTTTCTCTGGTGTCCGGGGCAGGGTGGTATAGAAGACAGGATCCTGAATCAGTCCAATCAATCCACAAGATCTGATCAAATAAGGCAAGCTTTTCCTATGAAACAAATATAGTAGAGGGAAGAGAGTGAACAAATTTTGGTAGTTCCTTTTTTCATTGAAACAAAAAAAGATCAAACAACAAAGTACTTCTGCGTTTTAGCTCTCATGTCGTGAACTGTGTAAAATGTAAAGAAGTGCGTGGTGCCTGCGTGGTGGTGTGTGACGTGCTGAGCAGGCAGGCAGAAATGACAATATAAACTAAGAACAGGTAAAACTGATGTAGCCCTCCTCAATCCGTCCTGTTCGATGGGGGCAAGGGGTCCCTTCTCCAGAGGGGTTAAAGCAGTAGCTCCTCACCCCTGTGCTTCAGCGCTTCCTCCCCAGGAGATGGATTGCTATTTTTGCCTCGTTTAACAATTTTTTAAAAATTTAGCTGTTTTTTAAGAAATTCTGTATCCTGCTCTGAAATGAACGCGTGTGGCGGGTACAGGTACACTGACCTACCTACACCTTAAGCACAGGTGATTCTGCACCACACCAGCAGCTCTTCGCCCGCGATCTCCCCGGCCCGCCCGACCCGCGACAGCGCCGTGACAGCCTGGGCGGGCTGTGACGCGGCAGCGCCCGCCATGTTGTGACGGAGCGGCACCTCCCAGGCGGGAGGGATAACGCGGGGGCTGCACTCGCTGAGTCGCGGCCCATCAGTTCACTCTGGGAGGGCGAGTGACACAATCCCGCTTCGCCCACGCATCACCCCGGAGCTGACACCATCCCACCTCGGCCCCGCTGCCCCGGAGAGAGGGGGCGCGGCCGTGAGGGGATCCCCGCCCCTAACGGGTCTCACTGTGATTGGCGCGAACACACCCCTCCTCCCCTTTGATTGGTCAGATGCGTTGTCACTTCGGGCAGGCACGGGCGCTGACTGGCCGGCGTTGGCGGCAGCCCCGCCCCCGCGCGGCCGCGCGGCCGGAGCGGAGCCGCGACCGGAGCCGCCGAGCGGGGGCGGCTTGAGAGTGAGGGAGTCGGGGCTGCGGCCGCGATGGAGCCAAAACCGGCGGATCCGCTGCTGTGCGACAGCCTCATCCTCTGGGTGAGTGGCGCGGGGGTGCTGCCGCCTCTGGGGAACCCACGGGGGCAGCGAGGAGGCGCAGCTGGCGGGGGAGAGTTCCACCCGTCTCTTCCGTCCCTCCGTCCCCGGCCGAGGGTCGGGCACAGGCGCGGCCGCGGCGGTGGGGCTGCCCGGGACACTGCTCTCAGAGCCCGCAGAAGGTTCCTGCAGCACCCCCGGGGTGTGGATGTGGTGGCTGGAATATCGCCTGGGCCCAGTAGTGGTTCTCCAGCGGTGGCTTCAGTGTGGAAACTGCTCAGTAATTTATAATAATAACAATAGTAAATGCAATTAATTTGAATTGGCGGGCGCAGAAGCCTCAGAGCGTTTCACAGCAGCTGGTTAAAGCGTGTATTAGTCAGGCACACCACGCCTGGGTGTGGGGTGTTACCTGGGCCAGAAGCACCGGTTTAGAATTGTGGAATCGTTCAGGTGGGAAAAGGTTTTTAAGGTCATCGAGGACAACCGTGTTTGTTAAACTCATCAATCGTTGCTTCCTCTTTATCTTTCTTTCCAAGCTCCTTCCGTGACCTTGTCTGTAAATCTGGTCTTGCAAGTGCAGTGTTTTTGGTGAGAGTGAGCTCTGCTAAATAGAACCGCTGTGTGACAGCTTGGCAGGGGAGGCCACAATTACCTGTGTGAAGGGTTTCTCTAGAAATAGCAGGTGTTTTGCCTCTGTGAGGTGTAAATCATGGAATAAGGGAGTGTTTTGGAAGCATCGTGGAAATCTAGGAATGAAACTGGCAACTACCTACTAGAGTAGGTAGTGTTCTTAATTTCTGCATGGCAGCACAGAAGTTTTGAAGAGTTAAAGTTGGTAATAAATCACTGAAAAACAATTTTCTTCTTTTTCTCCGTTAATTTTCCCTTTAGTGACATTCCAAGGTTTTGTTGGTCTGTAGAATTTTGGTTGTCTTATGCTTACCTCTGTGGACCTGGGTTAATCTTTCTGTTTTGTGCTCTTCAACTTTGTATTTTCCTCTCAGTAGTCATGTAAGAATAATTCCATCGTGATTCAGTTGCAAAAGAAATCACTGCATTCCTGAACTCTTTCTTAAAATCCTTAAGTCAGCAGTGCTGAACTCCTTTATAATTTTTATAATTCCTACTTAAAATATTTTAAGCCTAATTCTCATTTCTAGTATCCTCACAGTGCATAGCTGTAATTACATCCTGAATCTTAAAGGGAATGTAAATCTGGCCTTAAGATGAGCTTTGTTTCAATGTAAAGGAACATCCAGCCCTGTGTTCAGGTTCTCTATACAACCCTCAGCAGAGGCATTGTCAGCATGTTCTTAGATTTAACACCCTATTTCTCAGACCTAGTTTACAACTTTATAGAAACTGATTGTTAACACTCTAAGATGTGTTTCAAACATCCTTCACAAGTTGAACTTCAGTGTGAATAATAGGGAAAAATGTGGTGTAGGGAGTGGGAATGAAATGCTGGAGAGAAAAGAGTTCTTTAGCTCTATGGTTCTAAAGGTTTCTCAGTTTGCTTACTCATTAATGTAGCAAGCACATGCTTCTGATTTTCTCTGTTCTGCTGCCAGAGCGTGTATTTTTCTATTTTTATTTTACCAGATTCTGTATTAGAAAACATGCATTATCCAGAGAAGAAAGAGAATTTGAATAAAAACATTTTGTGTTGGTTTTGCAACCCGGGTGTCATTGAATTATGAAGTTCTGAGGATGTTGCAGAAAAAACAAAATGCAGTTGAATTGAGTTTTGGGGGAAATGGAGGGAAAAGATTAACAGCAGTAGGTGTAGTGATGGCACTGGCATTGTTAGTGATGTTAACTCTGTCCAGTGGCTGAGTTTATTCTATCAATATTATGGGGTTAAGAGCGGGAATGTTTGTTGCTACTTTAAAATCTGTTTGATTGCTCTGTAATCCCCAGTGTGTAAAATCTGGGTATGAAATGGAGAAATTCAACCCCACATTGTCCAGGTGACATTGAGGGCACACCTTCCCGAGGTGGAGAGGATGATTTCCTCTGGGCGCTGTGAACACTCGTGTTTTCATCTGCAGTTGTTTGGTGGTGGAGCTACAAAATTAATTTTTCAGCTGTTTATTGTGAGCATAATATCTGTGTGCCTGAGAGAAAAACACTTGCTTCTCCTGTAGTAGCAGGGTGCATTTGGGCTGGAACTCACAAAATGGTTTTCAGTGTGAGTAGCATGTCCTTGAAGCTATATTTAGTAAAACTAAAAAAATAGAGCACTGCTACAGCCCTGAAGTCTGTGGCTGCTTCTGCCAACCTCCTTCCCGTGCCTGCTGCTTTCATGGGGTTTGCTGGAACACTAAAAATCCATTTTGAGGAAATGATTGGGCTGGCAAGAGGTTTGGAGAACCCGTAATTAATACTTCTACTCTCATATTATTTCTAGGCCCTTATGTGACTTTTAAATATAGAGAGAAACAGACTGTCAGTCCTGCTTTATAATTAATTTTAATTAGCTGTTTCTATTCTGGGAGATTCTGCATAAAGCAGTGTCACCTATCATGGGGTTTTCTAAGGCTTTGCTTAACAGGCCCAGGTGAAATGGTAGTACCTGTGCTTAGCAATTCCCTTGGTTTGCAGCGGGGTGTATCCACATGGCAGCATCCCAATCCTGTGCTGTGAATTCTGTGGGTTCTGGGAAGCTCAGCCTTTGACTCGTAGTCGTGCCTGTGTTGGTGTGGAGGCTGCTGGAGTAACAGAAACCAGGGCTGTCAGTCACAGCAGCTTTGGGCTGTGGTGTTCCACTTAATCTTTTATGTAACCTGCAAGGGATTACTGACTTCTCACTTCCCGTAATACAAGATTTTAAACTGCTTTTTCAATCGAAAAACAAATGGAAAAACAGTAAAAACAAATCCTTGCTCTGCGTATTTTGGCTTGATTTGGCTGTTTTTGAAGCAAGCAAATATTCAGAGTTGTGGTCACTCTTTGTAAACACAGATTGGACAAAAACTGCCTCAAATTCTCACAGCTGGAAACTGCTTTTCCATCACTGTGGTCCAAGTAGCTCCATCTCCCAAACACAAGGTCATTCACCAGTGTGTTCTGAAGAAGCTTGTGTTTCACAGAACATTTGGGAAAGCCCTCTCGCAGATGAAAGGTAATTTAGGACACTGACTTCTTAAACCTCCTACATTTATGATTTCTGCAATGGACAGAGATTGTAAGGACCTGTACTTACTCCAATTCCATTTCATCTTTTAGTAGCACTAACAGCAAACTTTCTATTTTGTTCATAGTGGTGAAGAAGGCTCTTATTTTCCTGTGATGAACTGACATGTGTATGGAAATGGCTCTCTCACCTAGAATAGTTAGTTCTGAGGTGATTGATTGTGGAGGAATAAAATATTGCAACTCTAAATATACATCTAATTCTGTCATAATGTTAGATATAAGCTTGGGGATAGCTTAAAAAAAACCCCCAAATATCTAAAATGGAGAAACATTTTTAACTCTGAGGTAATCCCATCCTACTTCTATTACTAAGTTCTTGTTGTAAAAGACTGGAATTTTTTTTTTTCTCTGCAAATTTCACACCTTATTCTGATACCATTTTTTATTTAGATAATTACGACCAGAACTAAGCACTGCAACATAATTGGAGGGATGGATAAACACAGCTGTAGTTTCCCAAGTTATCATTCCATAATTTGATTTACAATAGAAGGTCTGGCATGAAAAAGCAAAGCGTGGGTGGTTGTACTAACTTTCTAAGTTACTAGTCATAACAGTCACAAGTACTGAGATAATTGGGTTGGCTTAAAACCTGCATAGTTCAAAAAGGATTTTAGCTGCCTCAAGTGAAAAGACATCTTTAACTTAAAGAGGAAAAGGAAAGTGGTAACTAATTTCCTGTCCTTTTGTCTGCTGAATGAGAAACACAGTGTTTTTTCCCTATTTTAGCTGCAGACCTTCAATACTGCTGCACCTTGCAGAGATGTTCAGGACCTGACTAATGGGGTTGCCATGGCACAAGTGCTTCACCAGATGTAAGTTGATTCTCCAGTCTGAAAAAGAGGTATTTAATTCCTTGAGGTTTTTGTGTCTGACATATGTAGTTGCTTTTAAAGTAGGCAGAAACTCGGAGTTGGCAGTTTATAGAAGAAGATAGAATATGCCTGTGTATTGCTGTTTTGGTGATGATATAACAGTTGAATAATAAGATGATGGGGAAGGTGATAAAAAAATATATATAAAAATATATATATAAATATATATGTTTTTATATATATATATATATGTTTATACTGCAGTATAAAGGATAACTAGGCAAGAATGACATGACCTTTTTCACTTTTCCCATCAACACTTGTTGTTGGGATAAGATAATTACCATCTCCTGCTCAAATTGTAATTTTGATTATTAAGAAATTACTTAAACACCACCACAAACCCCCATCCCCGTAAGAAAACCCCTCCTGAACTCAGAAGCCCTCCTGTCTGCTTGTGAAGATTTAAAATGTGCTGTGTAAGGACAGAAATCATATTTTTCCTGAAACATGGCAAAAATTGATTTAGGACTTGCTGAGGACTGCTTCCCACGTGTTTGGGGTACTGGATTGCCACAGGCTCTGGGCAGACCTCTGCACAGCCAAGTTGGTTCATGTGCAAGTTGGGATAATAATTGTCCTTTATTAGGTGCTTTGAGACCAGTGAATAAACAGTACGTTGTAAAAGTTAATATGTTGTTAAATATGCTGTGATTGTACTGCTTGGCAGCTTGGTGTGTATAAACACCTCCCACAACAACTCATCTTTATTTATGCTGGCAAAGTGAAAAGGCTTCTGCCCAGGGGAACCAAACACGCAAAAAATACAAAATGCCAGTAGTTCAAACTGGTTTTTTTAATAAGTGCCTTTGACAAATTGTGATGAATGTTAGAAAGTCCAACCTGCAGGAATGGATACCAAACTTAATATCAGCACTAGTCAAAAAGGGATGTTTCTTTGCATGATTCCGATCACTTTGTCAGGTATAAAAGTTCAGCACGGCAAAGATCTGCACATCCTTGTGTTCCAGCTGTTCCCAGCTCAAGCACACATGGAAATTCTCCCAGCCCTGGAAGGTGTCTTAATGCAGCCAGCAGGATGGGAATTTCCTGTGACTTAAGTTTACCTTGCAATCTCCAGAAATTCATGCCTCATTAGACACTGTAGTTCAACACCTGGTGATGTAATGCTGGGAATTTGCTGTCTTATTTAAGTCTGTGCTTATTCATTAATCATTTAATTTTGTTTCAGAGACGTTGCTTGGTTTGATGCCTCTTGGCTAAATCGCATTAAAGATGATGTTGGTGACAACTGGAGAATAAAGGTATTTAAAACTGAAGACAGTGAAATGTATGGAGTCCTGACATCTAGCAGTCCAAAACCTACAGAATTAAGATCAGGCTTTCAAGCATATTTTAAATGAACTTGAACTGTCTGTTGATAGTTTTAAGTGCCTTCCAGCATTGTTGGTTGCATGGGGATTTTCTGTTGGGATATTTCATCAAAATCAAAAACTTTAATTAAAGCTTGTAACTTTGTCTTTCATGCACAACAATTAGTCCAGTAATCTGAAGAAGATACTGCAAGGAATTATGGACTACTACCATGAGGTATGGATTATTGCCCTCCTTCACCTGGCTTTTTTTTTTTTGTTGGCAAGTGAATTTATCTTAAGGACTTCTTTGGCAGAAAGTGTATGTGGATTATCTGCTAAGTGGGAGGTCTGAGTGAATATAAAATTAATTTGAGCAGATGTATTTTAAATAAGACTCTTGGAGTATAATCTGGAAACCGTGTCTCTGCCCAGGTAAATGTCATAAGGACTGAGCTGCAGAATCCTGTTGACTTTAGTCTGTGCATTCATGTTTGCTCTTGTCTAGAGAAGCTTTAATCCTTTTGTACACAACAGAACAGACTCAGCAACCCCAGTTTAGGTTTTATGATATTCACTTGGAAGCTGAAAGCCAGGGTACAAATCCTCCTGGATCATTTTCTCTGCATGGCTCACCGAGTCCAGATTTTTTGCGTGATACCAGGTTTTCATGTTGTACAAAAGTGGGAGTCTGCTTTATCTCTTAATCATTTTTTTTTCCATTTTTTTCAGTTCTTGGGTCAGCAGATTTCAGAAGAGCTTATTCCAGACTTAAACCAGATATCTGAGAACTCAGATCCCACTGAACTGGGCAGGCTTCTGCAGCTTATTTTAGGTTGTGCAGTCAACTGTGAGAGGAAACAAGGTAGGCACTACCTTAACCTGTTCAACAATCACCAGACTTTGACAAGTGATTGTTAAGGTATAAGAGGCATAGAAACTTTTTTCTTATGTGTCAGAAAGTCTCTATTTTTAATACATTACATTCCTATTCTGAAACGAGTTCACTTAAAGGAAAATCTGTGGGAAACTTCTTTGGATAAAACTCAAAACTTTGTTCAAGTAGGTTTAAAAAAATAGTCTAAAGCATTTGTGGATTATTTGTACTTATTAAAATATGTACCAAGACCTAAAACTTACTATTCAAATGCAAATCTAACAAATTAAATTAAAAACTTACATTGGGAACTGTCTCTTCTTTATCTGCAGAGTCTCAAAATTGAATTGGCTGTTTTCTCTCCCCATACCAGAGCTAATGCTCCATGCTCTGATGGCGTTGCTCCTTACTCTGTTATGCAGAATATTAATTTGTGCAATTAAGAGTTTATAATCTCTTGTGTTTATACCATATTACTGGATAATAATGTTGTTGGTTAACAGTAGTCCTCTGTACAAAAAGACCACTACCTGTTCTGAAGGAGCTTTATAGATAATGGTTTCTTCTGGATCTTTCTGCAAACACTTTATCACATTACTCAAGCTGTTAAGATGAACGTGGTCATGAGTCACTGCAAATTGTTTTTCACAGAACACATACAAAATATCATGACCCTTGAAGAGTCTGTTCAGCATGTTGTCATGACAGCCATTCAAGAGGTAGGTAACAGTTCACAGCCTAATGCTGTCAGTTGAGAAGTCCAAATATCTATTTGTTATCTTTGACCTTTGCTTGAATGAAAGAATTTACAGGGAAGACTGTAAGTACTTTCCTAAATTATTTGGGAAGTTCAGGACCAAGAGGCCCCAGATTCCAACCAAGGGGTTTTGATTTTAGTCTCATGTGCCCAAACATACAACGAATGCTTAAGATTTTTCATTCCACACAAGAATATATATATATAGTTGCCAACCACTGATTATACTGGAGTCAGGTTCTGAAATGTCCCAGTGTTATAGTCTTGGTCCCAGAATTAACCTGATTGTGTCTGTGAGGCTGCATTGTTATGGAAGGACCATTCCAGCCTCTGATTTACAAGCTTGCAGCTGCATCTCTTCCATTCTTGTCGTGGTGTGCTCCTCCTCCTGTTTTAATTTGGTTTTGGTTGGATCATCTTGGAGATCCAGCTCATGGCTTAGCTCTGCAGTCACTCACATTTGTAAGCTTAAGGACTGAAGCAGAGTGTGGAGAAACTAAATACTGACTTTGAAGAAAAGGTGGTGTGTAACTGCAACCTCATCAAGGTGTGAGTGGAGTTGGTAATAGGCTTTAAAACTCAGATTTAAATTGACTGGATAGTCTTTAAAGGTGCAGGGGTCCTATTGGTAGAAAGAAATCCATAAACCTCTTGATTGTTGTCTTCTGATTAATTAAAATTTCTGAAGAAGGTCTAGAAATAATACAGTAATTCCTGAGTGAAAAGTAAAGCCCTGTAATTGTTGACAGATACACTGTGTACCTCTTTGTACTGGAGATCAGTGAGAGCAGTGTTAATGTTCCCATTGTTTGCTTAGTGGCAATTAACGGAGTACAAAGAAGTGTGATGACTGTTAATTTAATTGACTGAAATCCTGTCCTCTGGTTCACTCCATTTTAACTTCAACAGATCACAGATTCATCCAATAAGATATTACTGCTAACTTGATTTTTTTTTTTTTGGGGGGGGGAAGGGAGGGAGAGGTAAAAAATGTAATCTTATTCTAGATTTGTTTGAATCCTTTACCAATCATGAGGTGGGTTTTATTATTACTATTAATGTATTTTGACATATTGAAGGAATGCAGTGATATAGTGGAAAATACAATTGGTACTCTGTAGGCAGTGAATTTACAGATATTTAACCTCTAACTTAACCTTTTTTCCTGTGGCCTCTTCTTGTAGCTCATGAGCAAGGAAGTAACGAGTCCTTCCACCTGTGATGCATCAAGTGAAATGGAACAGCAGGTAACTGCCTAATATTTGTCACTGTTGTAGATCAAGCCTGAACAATAAGCTGGTTTCTTGCCATCCTTTAAGTGAAGTAATGTTGGTTTTCAGTGCTAATTAAGTAAAAAGTTATCTGCTGTTCTATAGCTTCTTAAAAAAAAAAAACAAAACAGTGCCTGCTATGTCATCTTACTGGATGGGGTAAAACTGGTCAGTGCAAGAAGAGGTGAGGGTACATCAAGGCTCAGCCATGCCAGGCTGAACACTTCAGGTTATTTTTAAGGGGTCATGAAAAGTCTTGATAACCTTAACACTACAAGTTACACATAAAATGATACTTGTCTTTACAAGTAGCTGCTCATAAAGGAGCATCAGTATTTCTCTTCTAAGATGAAGGGCAGGCATTTCTTCAACAGGCAGGGATTTTGAAATTGTGACCACATGAATGCTCCTGTATTTCGTTTTGTTATGCCTTTAGCCCAGGTTGCTGTGTTTGCTGTTTTTCAATAATTTACTTGTTACATGTGGCAATCGTTTAGAAGACAAGTGAAATGAGCAGGGATCCTGATGTAACAGTGTATATATAGGTTTCTGTGTCAGTGTGTGCACCTGACATACTTCTTAAACAGTTCATATAAGCAGTTAAGTTGTTTTGTAAGCTACAACTGTGAGCACTTTGGATATGGGCCACAGTGATTGACTGTCTTATTTTTTGAAAGCTTAAAAGAGCCTTGGAGGATCTTCAGGAAGCGTTAGCAGAAAAAGAAGAGTTGGCACAAAGATGTCAAGAGCTTGATTTGCAGGTAAGAAACAGCAAGTTGCTTACTTCTTTAATATGTAGTGGTGCTGCTATTAAGATGCAGAAGTGAAGGGCAAAGTGAATTTTGCATTATTTAAATTTCTGTGAGAATTCTTGTGGGGGAAAAGCAATCATTCTGTACTCCAAAATGCAGTTACTGGGGAACGTTTTCCAATGGAAGTGTAAGCTGAGGTCCTGTGCCAGCTGTTACCTCAGACGTTCTTTGATCTCTTACCTTTGTTTACCTTTAGTAGCAGGTAGTGTTAAAACAATGTTCTCATGGTTGTAAAAACTGCCCTTCTCATTTTTAATCACTGCTTCCTCTAGTCTTTTGTGCTGTGTCCAAAAAATCCAGTTCATGTAATAACCAGTCATTAGATTTAATCACAGGAAAATGATGCTGTTTGAATAGGAGTTGATGAATGATTAAATTTCGAAATTTATCTAAAATTTGTTAACTTTTTGTCATGCACAAGTGTAACATGGAGGATACTTCTGGATAAAATAATGGAAACTAATAGATCCTTGCTGACATTTTCAAACACTAATAATAGACCTATTTTTGTTTTTAATGGATATAGCAGTTAATCAAGTCACTCTTGAGAAAAAGTAGAGAGGATTTTGTAACAATAAAGAGAAATTTGCATTTCAATCAACTTTTTAAAGAAAAAAAGAATCCATTTGATACTCTTAAGTGTGATTCCTCTTTTATGGCACAATAATCTGAGAATAGAAAGAGTTTTATCTGGCAAGGCACTTCATCTCAAATTTGGCTCTGCACAAAGAGAACATTTGGATTGCATCTTCTTAGAGGAGCCAAAGGGCTGTACTGGCTGTGTGAGCATCTGAAAATGAACACCCACAAAAGCAGAGGCCAGCTTTACATTTATTACAGGCAGTGACAACTGAAAAAGTTGAATACTTGTATATGAAGTAGCTCAGAGCTAGTTGCCATGCCCAGGAAGCTATTGTTATAATGGAATTGGTATTTAATTTTCTTTTTTCTTGAGGCAGCAGTAAGGCTTCCTAGTGAGAACAGAGATATAAAAGTGAACAGAATCTGCAGAAGTCCCAGGCTTTCACCTGTCTCCCACAAACTTTTCTTTCCAGATTTCTCTATTATTTAATCATAAGTTATGCAAAGCCAGTTGCTCATAACATAGTATGGGACAGCTGAAAGGTGTTTAAGGGAAAGGTACTGCTGAGTATAAACAGAGGAGTTAATGTCACCACACTCTGTAATACTGTGATGTGTGTTTAAAATATCTCTTTATAATCTGTGTTGACTTTGACACCACTTCTGTTATGCTGAAATAATAAAAAACTATCAGAAAGGAACTGAGAAAAGATGTAAAACTTGCTCCGAGTTGTGTCATAGTTTGATTTTAAGGGTTTTTTAAGTCTGAGATGGGAGATGTCTTAATGTTATTCTTGAAGTCTGAATGTTGTACATGCTTAAGGAGTGGCTGAACCTTGAACAGGAAGTGTTTTGCTGAGCAAGGCTCAGATATGCTCTCTACTCACAGATGTTTCTGTGAATGCAAATAGTAAATTACATCTGGTATTGTAAAAAAGGAAAAGAAAGCCAGCACCTAATGAAGTGGTAGATTAACTACTGTTTGATTTTTGTATCTGTTTGACTGATAGACTTTAAAATTATGATCACAAACAAATTGTTTCTTAATATTGCATACTCTAGGTTGTATCTATTTTATAATATCATGATATGTTTTTTTAATTTTATTTATTTGAAGCCGTAATATTGACTGACACTTCTCATTTAAACTAATTCTTAATAAATTCACTTGTAAGGTCTCAGTCTTCCTTGATATTTTCCAAGAGTATAAGAAAGGTAGGTTTACTTTCTGATTCAGGAAAACATAACCCAAAAAGCATATTGTCCCTGTTTAAATGCCAGTTGACTAACACGTGCTACGTGCTCTTGTGTTTGACAGGACGTTAAAATTAACACAACAGCTTTCACTAGAAAAACTTTAAAGGTTCTATCCTCCTAATCCTTCCCCATTTTATGGCTGTTAATATACTTCCAGTGAAGTGTTGTATCCTCATTTGCTTAGCTGTGAGCACCCAGTATCTGACTGTTGCCCAGTGCATGCTCTCTCTGAAGCTGGCCAGGTTTTCTTTTGCGTGTGTGCTTACGGTGCCTGAAACCGCTTCTGAACCCGCAGCCATTCACTGCTGAGCACGGCAGTCCCTGGGTGTGCTGGCCATGCCATCCTGCTGCTTATTGTCCAGTACAAGCAAGATGGAGAGTAACCTTTGCACCAGTTTTGGAGTTTTTTGTACGGCGTCCGTGGTGTTTTTAATGAAAGTACCAGTTCCTCTCCATATCACTTTGTGTGCCTTTACTGTGGTTTCAGTTACAAAAAATTGTCTTTTTTTTTTTTTTTTTAAGAAGGACTTTTCCTTTAGTGCTTCATAACTGTCATACACTAAAGCATCTGTATGCTCAAGTGTGCTCTGTAAAACTACATTCTAAAATTTCTAAGCGCTCAACCTTTTTCATAAGCTAATTTGGTGACATCCTGCTGCCTTGCTTGAGTTCTTTGGACAGGTCTTACAGTGTTGATGCTGTTTTATCTGTACTAGGTAGCTGCCCTCCAGGATGAAAAAAACAGCTTGATGTCAGAAAATGAGATTATGAATGACAGACTAGAGCAATTAGACGACTCTCTTGATGATCCAAATACTGTGGTTGCAAAAAAGTATTTTAATGCACAGTTGCAGCTGGAGCAATTGCAAGAAGAAAACTTCAGGTATTAAATTATTTCCTTCAAAAATCCCTCACTTGTCTAATATATCCTGAGAATTTCTGATACTCTTTTGAGATTTTCCATCTCAATTTCTATTGCATTAAAAGCTTTCTAGTGCTGTATAAGCATATTTTAAAGATAGTCCTTGTATTTAAAAAGACACTGTTACTTGTAAAAGATATTACTTTGGTAATATACTTTGGTATAGCCCTCTGATACTTCAAAAAAGGGGAGGGAGTTCAGAAAATGAGTGCTGAAGTGATTGGTGTATAAACAAAACAAACCCCAACCCACCTAACACCATCCTATCTCTTTACTGTACTCTTTTCTTTCACATATTAGTCTTTCTCTCTGTGATACACAGTGGGGGGAAAATCACTTTTCATGTGATGCCTTGATACTGGTGTGGCAGATCTGTAGTGAACAATCCATTATGATTTAACAGGTAGACAGTAAAAAGTTCCGTGTTTGCAATATGATTTTTCTGGTGACTTAACAGTTTTCCTTTGTCTTATTTTTAGTAATTCTAGCACTAAATGAGAACTGTATAATAACAAAATGGTCCTAACAGAGTTCCTGTTTTTGATCTGGTAGGCTTGAAGCTGCAAAAGATGATTATCGTGTCCATTGTGAAGATCTAGAAAAACAACTGATTGAACTGCAACATAGAAACAATGAACTGACCTCTCTGGCAGAAGAATCTAGAGCCTTGAAAGATGAAAATGATATTCTTAGGTATGTAGTAGGGGGAGCTCCACACACACACACATTAGGAGGATTTAATGACTAAATCCAAGGCTTTATATTTAACAAGATTTTTTGGAGGTGTTACTTCTGCAGATCTTACCTGGATGAGGTGTTTGACAAAGCAGAGATGAAATGGAAGCTTTCAGGCAAACCTCTGTTGTTTGACAAGAATAACACATAGAATTAATTAAAGCAGAATTAATGACTACAGAACTTATACTTCTTCATGTGGGATGGAAAGTTGAAGTTCTAAAGTAGAAAAGCATACATACAGCTAGAACTTTGACACAATTTTGGTGTCAGCATTCTAGGCCAGATTTAGGTTAGGGAGATCATTAACAAAAAGAAGATGAAATACAAAGTAACCTCCATGAGAATTTAAGGTAACATTCCAGCTTGTGTACACTGTATAAAATACCAGACCACCCAAGAACTCACACTGTGAAAGCAGGTCTGCTATTCATAAAATACTATCAATAAAACATAAAAAGAAAATTGGTTTCAGGGGCTTAACTTACAGTGATTCTTAAGTAACATCTGAAACAAATGTTAACTATAGATTTTTTCCCATAATTTTCTTGTACCAGTTTTTAATGATATGAGGATGCAGATATTAAACACAAATATTAAAATAATTTGAAATTTATGATTCCAGTATTTTCTTACTGTGTGGATTTTTGTTAGTGATAAGCTGATAAGTCTTGGTCATATCTGCTAATGACCATTCTCATAGTGCAATTATGTTCTCATTATGTATAATCCCACAAGGAGAACACCTGTGTGGTTTTCCTTCCCAGGTAGCAGCAGTTGGAGATGATTATCTAGCACAGGATGTGGTGCATTTACATTGCACCCCACAGAATTCCCCAGGGGTATTTGACACACTAACCCTTGCTCATACTTCTTGCATACAACTCTCAGTCTTACTCCCACTTAAACCCTGTGCTGATTTCAATTTTTATGAGCAAGTTTATGTTGATTATGCATTTAAAAATAAAGCAGTAAGATGTAAGTGCTGCTAAGCGTGTTGCATCTCTCTTTGAAAATAGCTTGAATGCTCATGACAGCAGAATTGGGCTTTTGTAAGCTTTTGAAGAAACATGCTCTCTGTTCTAATTCCTGTTCATACTTTAAGAGCTACTGCAGACAAGGCAAGTAAGCTGGAATCAACTGTGGAAGTGTATCGGAAGAAGCTGCAGGATCTGAACGACTTCCGCAGACAGGTCAAGTCGCTGCAGGAGACCAACATGATGTACATGCACAACACAGTCAGCCTGGAGGATGAGCTGAAGAAAGCCAACGCAGCACGAGCCCAGCTGGAGACCTACAAACGACAGGTGAGGCCACACTTATACTGGAAATATTAATTTTTCCTCAGATACTTGGGAAGAGCTTAATGTAACAGCCCGTGGGCTTAACCTGTGTCATCCCCTTAGAATTTCTTATTTATGAAAACTTTCATGCGCTGCCTTTCACTTCTGGGGTTTTCCCCTGTTTGTTAAACTGGGAAGCTTAACTGGTTGTCCTCTCAACTGATGTGAGAGTCCATGGTTTGCAAACTTTTCTTTTTTACTGTCTTCTGGGAGAGATTGTTCGGCTATTATTGAGGTCACTTGTAAGGAATCACAGAATCACAGAATGGTTTGGGTTGGAAGGGGCCTTCAAGATCATCTTGTTCCAACCCCCTGCCATAGGCAGGGACACTTTCCACTAGACCAATTTGCTCCAAGCCCCATCCAACCTGGCCTTGAACATTTCCAGGGATGGGGCAGCCACAGCTTCCCTGGGCAACCCTCACGGGAAAGGGCCTCACCACCCTCATAGGAAAGAATTTCATATATCTAACCTAAATTTTCTCTCTTTACAATCTGAACCCATTCCCCCTTGTCCTGTCACTACATGCTTGTATTTTTATATTTCTTCATGGAAATGTATTTTAAACTGTAGTTTTATTTTAATTTCAGTAGTAATTAAAAGAGAGAGTTAAATATAAAAAAAAAACCCAAACCAACCAACTAACAAAAAAAACCCCAAAGCACACAGGCTCCTGTCCCATCTTCCCTCCCCTAAGCTTGAGGGACCAGCTGTTTTATGTTGGCTGAACTGGACAGGAGTGACTGTTTTAATATAGCTTTAAGAAGTAGCATCTTGCAATATTCATACACTGTTTTTCTGAAAAGGTCCAAGAGCTTCATAACAAACTGTCTGAAGAATCCAAAAGAGCTGATAAGCTGGCATTTGAAATGAAGAGACTTGAAGAAAAACATGAGGCTTTAATCAAAGAAAAAGAGGTAAGTCTCTCTAAGGGAGTTTATTTGAGCACCTAATGTCTCTCTTAAATACTCTGCTGGAGGAAAATCTTCCTGAAATTAGTGTCTTCATAAAAATTGTGTGTGTGTATATACATATAATAAAGAATCATAGCATCATCCAGGTTGGAAAAGACCTCCAAGATCATCAAGTCCAACCTGAAAAGTGCATGTGTCAGTATTAGTTCTGCTTCTTGTTATTTGCTCTTAAAATGGAGCAGTTTGACTTAACTCCACCTCAAATCTGTCTTGTTAGAGACTGATAGTGCAGTGTGATGCATTAAAAGAAACAAATGAAGAGCTCCGGTGTTCACAGATGCAGCAGGATCACCTGAGTCAAACAGGTATTGCTGTACCTTCAGAGGCTTTTTTATTTGTATTAGAGCTTTCTTTGAGTGTGTTAATTAAACTTCCCATGTGATTTCAGGTGGCTCTCGTGTTAAAAGCCATGAGAATCTTGCTGCTGAAATTCTGCCAGTGGAATACAGGTGAGACCAAAAGGTAGAGGTTGTTTTGGGATGTTCATGGGTGGGGCTTGATGCTGCCTCCGGGAAGGTTCATGACTCTATCCCAGTTCCTGCTTTGCCTCCATGATGCTTATTCAGACCACTATGTAGCCGTTAATTATTATTTTCCTATACTACAATTAATTTTTCTTAAAAGCATATCAGATTGCTGTAAATAAATCTGGGTTTGGAGTGACAACTTAAAACTTTGTTCATATCTCTTACAATTTGCAAACATCACAATATTTTAAGTTACCTTTTAATAAAAAATTGCAGTGTTATCCCAATTATATCATTAAGCAGAACTTGATTTACTCACACTTTAGGGCTGGGAGAGCGAACAGGAATATTACTTCTTCCTCTTCGTCACCTTCTTAATTAACAGGGACTTTTTTTGGGGTTTTTTTGATTCAGAGAAATGTTTATTCGGCTGCAGCATGAAAATAAGATGCTCCTGTTGAAACAGGAAGGGTCAGAAAATGAGCGTATTGCAGAGCTCCAGGAACAGCTGGAGCAGAAGCACCGGACAGTGAACGAACTGGAAACTGAGAAAAGGTGAAACTACATCTTAAAACACAGCAAAAAGTGATTTCTGGAATTTGAGAGTGGCCTTGTGGCCTGTATCTGTAGTGTAGCACCGTGTAGGAAGCCAAGTACCTTTTCTTTCACCAGTGTAACCATAAATGAGATGTTGCTTTTAGGACACTTTTCTTAGTTCTGAGTGATTCTTGAAAGTAGACCAAGAATGGATATAAACTCTATTTCTAGAACTTCAAACTGCTAGACCATGGGATATGGTCTGAATTTCTCTATCAGTTAATGCTGAAAGCAGTTCATTAGAATATGAGAGTTTTTGGTAGTTAAGGTTTCTCAAAACTTAAAACGATTCATTATAAAATGTTGACTAAAGCTCCATGTGCTTGTTTCAGCAGAAGTTCAAGTCAAACTAAAAATCAGTTTCTTTGTGGCTTAAGTCCTCCTGGATCTACCTCTGAAAAACTGTTATCCAGACATGAAGCAGAAAAATTTGTCTATGATCTATACAGATGACCAATAACTGTCTTTTCTTCCTAAAAGGCTGAATGAAGAGCGTATTGGGGGATTACAGCAGCAGATTGAAGATCTGCAAAAGACTTTGCAGGAGCAGGGATCCAAGACTGAAGGAGTAAGTAGAAGTTCAGGCTTCTTGGCCTTGAACACAACATACCAGTTTTGTTTTAAGTCCTTCAGTGTAACATCAAGTCCTTTGTTTAGATGTGCAGCTTATTTTTCAATGTGTCTGAAAAACACAGCACACCAACTGTATTTCAATTGAAAAGCTCATGTTTTATGTGATTCCTCCACCTTCTTTAAGGAACTGTAACTCTTCTACCTTCTACATTTAGTTTTATCAGTCAATAGTGGTATAACGAGAGGAAGAGCTTTAAAGAAAAGGATGTGGAATTGATTTCTGTGCAATGCAAAAAAATATGAATGTAGTTACAAAAATGCAGTTTCCTTAGTATTTATTTGCTTTGACTTACTTGTGCTAAGTATTCTTGGCTGATTTGTAAGAGCACTTTAATGTTGCTTAGAATGAAACACTGAAATATAACTGAATTTTAACTCTTCCCTTTCATAGTCCAGCAACCTGAAGCAGAAGTTGGCAGCACACATGTAAGTAAGGCACATGCATCCACAACAGCTTATTTATGCAAAATACAGCACAGAAACTGCTTAAATCTTTGCAGGGATGTCTTGTCTTTCTAAGCCACTGATTTGGGAATCCTGCATAAAGTGAGTAAAGTATTGGTGTTCTGGTTTTGTCTACTCTGATCATGATGATCTGGTAATACTAGTACCACTTAACTGTCTTCACCACCACTAGCATTTTAAGTGTTCTGATTCTACAACAGAGTGCTAAAAGCATCACTGTTACTGGGCTCAAAACATATTCCATTCTTCTGGAATACTTCCATCCTCTCAGCAGATGTACTTCCTGCTAAGGAGCTGCTGGAGGGGTTTAATTGTTCATTTTTTCCTAGTTTTAGGTAAATGAGACTCAATTCAGGAGTCACAACTTTTATGGTTCTTCAAAAACACATACTGATATTTCTGTTTAAACTCAGAAGAATTGCCAGAGCTTAAAATAGTTATTTAAGCACTTCTGCCATCAAGTTTCAGCTTCCAGCTCTTAAAACTGCAAGGAATTATTTGTGAGCTTAAGCCTTAGTCCAGCCTTTCATTCACAGGGAAAAGTTGAACGAAGTTCATGATGAGTTACAGAAGAAAGAGGCTGATCTTGCAGAGCTCCAGCCTGATGACAGTCAGAACCGTAAGTTGTTTTGTGTGGGATTTTTGGGCTTCTGGCTTTCTTTTTTTTTTTTTAATAAGTTAAGTGTCTTCTGAAATGATTCCCATAGCCAGTGGACTATGGGATACTTGTCTGGATAGGGGTTTCTGCTACAGCTTAGCTTTAAACGTGAAATGGGGTGTATGGAAGGAATTCTTTTTGTGCCTGCTGGTGGGCAGGGAGAGGATCCTGGGGGGCTTAGTTTTGTTGCACAGCACTCTGCCAAATGGGAATTCAGGGTCAGGTGGGACAACTGAGACAAAAATCATAACTTAAAGAACTCTGTAGTAGCCAGAAGGTTTATTTTGAGAGTGTTGAAATCAAGGGAACTCAGAAGCCTTGAAAGTACCACATCTGTTTTTATTTTGTATGTCTTTGTTGGTAATTTCTGTAAATAGCCCAGAAGATTGGAGAGCTGGAAGCAGCTTTACGAAAAAAAGATGAGGATATGAAAGCAATGGAAGAAAGATATAAAATGTACCTTGAGAAAGCAAGAAATGTAAGTGGCTTATTTCTGAACATACACATTCCTCCCTCATAAATTGTTAAACAGATTGATTTGAATGTGTGTGTCCCCACCTCCCAATTAAAAATGGCATTCTTAATCAAATTGCTCAACTGCAGTCAGTTAAGTGTATGAGAGAATGGGGTTTATACTAAACATGAGGTACATTAATAATTCCTTTGTACCCTTTGGTCTCTGTTAACAGTGTAACAGCCTAATTTTCATCAGAATTCCCTGAGCAGTGCCCAGACTGTTTCCATATTCCTTCTCTGAGCAGATGAGGTGCTGAGCTGTTGAGAATCAAACCTGACTTGTTATGCTCTTGTTTTTTGCCTTATCCAGGTGATAAAAACCTTAGACCCCAAGCTAAATCCAGCATCAGCAGAAATTATGTTGCTCAGAAAACAGATACTGGAGAAAGACAAAAAAATTGAAGCACTAGAGGTAAAAATTTTACATGTATTTAATAACAACTTGTAATGTGTTCTGTCCTGATATTAGACAGTCAAGATACTGTTTCCTAATGATTCAGTAATGATTCAGGATTTCAGCTTGGCTGAAATTCTGAAAGGATTGTTGACAGTAGTCCAAATATCAAAAAAAATGGAGAAATGCATTCAGTTTTACAGCAATATTGATGGGTCTAGTTAAATAGTTACCTGGACAAATACAGAATTTCTCAACACAGATGAGTAGGCTGATAGGTCTGACTATATATATGCTGTGGCTTCAGATTGCTTTTATGCAAGATGTTCTAAGTATATTATATAATAGCAATTCGGTAACACAATAAGAATAGTCAGCTGCTGGAAGTACATTCTTGTCTTTTCAGCTGGAAAGATTACTGAATTATTTATAGACTTTCTGATACACCCCACACAAACCCTCAGAGTATATTTCTAAGTTGTTTCTGTGTTTCTAACTGCAACTTTTATGAAGTTTGGCCTCTTTGAAGTAGTCTGATAATTTATCTCTCAGTCTTTAATGGAAGTATCTTTATTTATACTTCTAAGCTTTCTAGTTATTTTGCATATTGAAGCATTTCTGCTGCCTCTGTTTCACTCTATGGGCTGCCATAAGTTTAAGCAGATAAAATTTGTGTTTTAATTGAGCTTATCTTCCCTCTTGTCTCCTTGTAGAATGAATACAAACTGGCTAAGCTACGTGATTATGAGGAAAAGCTAATTGTAACTGCGTGGTATAACAAGGTGGGTCAAAAATTCATTTGTTGGTGTATCAGAAAAACATATTTTGCTAAATGCGACAGTTACATTTTAGTTAATCTGAGAAATCCAGTAAAAGAATTTCTGTGTGCATACTAAATAAGGATGAGCTTTGTGTATGAAAGATGGCAGAGCTTTTCTCTTCCGTTTTTGCTATTATTTAAGTTGTTGTTTAACTGTTTTGCAGAGCCTGACTCTGCAGAAGCTGGGTATGGAAGCAAGGCTGGTTGGCAGCAGTGGTGCCTGCAAAGATGGGCCTGGACGCTCCTTCCTGGCTCAGCAACGTCACGTCACCACCACCAGGAGGAATCTCACTGTTAAAGTACCAGGGGCAACATCTGATTAAACCACAAGGACCATGAGGAAAACTTACCTGCTGAAGTGTCCTTAAATGTTTTATAGCTTCCACTTTACTTGAGGAAAGAGGAGGTTAGAACTGGGCAGCTGCAAATTCAACATCAGAACTATCAAGGAGTGATTAATTTGATCAGTGGTGTGTGTAGAAGGTAGCACGTAGTTTTCCAAGTAGATTTGATAACTGCAGTACCTATTTACAAGCACAACGTAAAAGATTTATATTTGCCTTCAGATTATATTGTAAATATGAAATTTGGCACTATATATTTAAAACTTTATTTAATGGGTTTGGGCTAGAAAGTTGACTTTTATAACGGGAAGATGTTATGCAAAAATTTACTTCAGGAAACTGGCAATATTGGGCATTTTTGCTGGGCTCTTCTAAAAATAGATTTAAAAGATTGGTACCATGTTTTAAAAAAACACAGGTTTTTTTAGAATAGAAAGTACAGTTTTAAATGCAAGAAAATACTTGCATTTATAGAAAAAGAAAATAAAGGTATAGTACCAGTACAGAAGACAGGATTTGTTTCGTAAGAAGCAGAATTACTCAGTTTAGTAAAAAAAAAAAAGCTTAAGTTACTCAGTTTAGTAAAAAAAAAAGCTTAAGTTTGTGCATATACACACTAAAGAAAACCTGTCTTTAAGATGCTGAATTCACTTAAGCCAAAAAAGCTTGTCTTTTCCTGTGTAAGAGAAAGCTATAATAATAATAATAATTCAAAAGTCTGGGCTGTATTTTAAAGTCTGGCATATTCATATGCTGCATTTATTTGCAGAAGGGGAATTAGGTGGGAAGGAGCCCCATTTATTTCAACCTATTTATACAACCCTCTGCATGGAAATTAATTTTTCTTTTTTAAATGTAGTTTTCACTTCAGTTATTCTCAACTGAGTACTAGGCAGAGAAATGAAAGATGGCTTTGACAGTTGTTGGCAGTGAGAGAAGTGCATAAACTATAATAGTGTGATAGAAGATGAAAAAGGGATTGATATCTGAAATTCGTGTGCAGGAAGTTGCTGTCTTTCACAGAATTTGTCACTTTATTTTCCAAATGTCTTATTTTTGTTTTGAATTGTATTTTTAGGAAACCTGTCAATGTCTGTTCTTCTTCGCAGACTGTCTAGAACAAATTCATTATGCCAGTAGTTAAATGAAATAAAATTGCAGCAGCCTGTAAAATAAAATGAATACACTTAAGCTAAGTATTTGAGGATGGTGTACTAGAGCATCATCTAATACAAAACTCAACCACATTTGTGAATGAAAACACACCTGTCTCACCATATTTGATCTGAGAGCAGAATTCAGCTTTGCAGAATTTAAGTCTTGAATTATGAAATTTGGGTAGTCTTTCATTTTACATGCCTCTCACTATGGCTTGTTATTTGATTTCTTCCTTCCCCAACATCTTAAATTCTTTATTGGGCATTGCATGCAATGCCAGGGAAAAGGCAAGTATTAATTTCTAATACTTAAGGTTGCTTCTTAGTTGTGGTCGTTGTTTTACAGTGCTGTACATTTAGGCATTCAACAGATTTCCTCCTTCAAAAAGCACTGTTTAAAAGCCAGTCTCATGCTACATATGTTGTGAGAGCAGAGAACGTGCCAGACAAGTGGCTCTTGAAGAGTTTTGTCTGTCTGGTGCTGTTCTTTGGGACTCTATGCTTGGACTACCTCTTGGGTTTTGAGGTCTTTTATTGCTGCAGTGATATTAGTGGAGTTTGTGTTTTTAAGATACAGTTGCTTGTTCACTCTGCTGGTAGTGTGGGAGATGGTGGTGAGCAGTGGAGCAGGAGATTCAGTCTTAGCAAGATGCTTACATTCCTAAAGCCTGGTCTGTGGTGTGGTGTAGTGAAATGTGAAGCTGTCACTGATGGTGTTGAGTGGGTCTCTTAACCCTCGTTCTTTGCAGCATGGAAACTTTCATGGACGTCCCTCAAATACTCATCTAGTTTGTAGGCTTGATGCATTTGTTGTACTTCTCACAGTAGTAGAGCTGTGTCAGTCAGTGTCTGTCAGGTGCTGAATAGTGACAAACTTGGAGCAAATGTCTTTGACTTGCACTTCTCAAAACTGCAGACCCTGGGACCAAAAATAAGCAAGAACCTCCTTATCATTTAATTGGAAGTTTGTCTTCTAACTAGTGATGGAAGAATTTCAATCCGAAACTACAGGCAGGGATCAGCCTTTTTCAGGGCACACTTGTCCCCATAGTCTCACTGGGGTTGCCAAAAATTAATCAGGTTTTCAGATATTGAATAAAATGTTGCTTATTCGGGACTTTTCCAAACTGTTAGAAGTTAAGCCTGTGAATATAACTTAAGGGTTTCTTTGGGATTGAGAACCTGTTTAAGAGCAGCTGTTCTACAACTGGTAAAACTTGGGTTGTGTCCTATGAATGAGGAACTGATCTTTAGAAATAAATATTGGATTATAAGCCATGGTGGTGTGTTCACTTCAGCTCCTCTGGCTGTGCAGGAAGGACCATTAGATGAGTATAATTTTAATCTTTGCTTCATTCATGTCAAACAAAAGAAGCTACTAATGCCATTGCTGTTTTACAGCCGAGTTGTATCCAACATGTAGCAGCAGAGCCCTGTCAATAGGTGTCCTTTTATGCACCACTGCTGAGGCAGGACAAAGAAAGAAGGCCACTGTCTCTGCTGCAAGATGAATTCATACCATCCCATCAGCACAGTTAGGAACACATCCAAATATGAGGTGAAACCACTGAATACTGGTGAAGTTAAACAGGATTATTAGCAATTTAGCCAGTTTCCAGTAAAACGGGTAATACAGATCCAAAGAAACAACAAATATGTTCTGATTGACATATCATTTGTTAATTATTTTTTATATAAGATTACTATGGAAGAGAAGTTTTATAGCAATAATACAAATTCTGGACTAGTGAGTTCTTTTACTCAAGATGGGCAGCAGTTTTGAGAAGATTCTTTGCAACAACTTTATTATAGTGGATTAAGAAACATTCACTGAAAATAAATTTTCACCTGATTTTTTGGTTCATTAAAAATATATATATGGGTATTTTATTTTATATGATATACACTTACTTGGAAATAAGTAATATAAGCAATACTGATGTTCTATTTAGGTAGCCATAAATAGATTAGAAATTAGAAAATAAAAACAATTGTTTAAGAGTTGGTAATGTCTAGTACAGTAATTTTCTTACATGTTTCTTTTTTTCCTTCCCCTAATGCTAGACTTAAAGTTTTCGGTGTATCGGTGTCTACATCTTCTGTTTAAAACAAATGTAAACACTGTGTTGCATAGAACTTGAAAATTGCACTAATTTTTAAACTTTTGGTTTTATTTTTTTCTTTGGAAAGAGTTCTTTTATATTCACATAAAGATTTTTAAAATTTAATTCTTTGTTGTCTTTATTCCAAGAAATGCATTTAATGGTCCCTAGTTGATGTAAGCATTTGTATTTCTGGGCAAAGTGTGACCTGGATCAGCATATTGATAACACTTATACCATCTAAATGTCATGTGCCGGGATGTGTAACGCGTGTATAATGAGGGTATGGATGTAATGAGTTGTGCTACCTTTCCCTCCTCTTCTCAGTTCTTTCCTGCTCATATTTCTGCTCCCACCCAAAGCTGGTTCCCTCTGCTCAGCCTACAGTCAGTCATCTCAGAGCTGGGCAAGGGATTTTGGGAAGTGAAAAGCCTAAACCCTACTACAGATAAACTGTCAGGTGACTTCAGGAATTGCTTGCAGCTACTGAAGGAGGGGAGGGTATCTGCCTGTTGTCAGCCCCACCTGAGAGGACACAGAACAGGTACCTCTCTAAATCACTGTTTGCTGTTATTTGGAACAGAAAGCTGGCTGCCCTCTGCAGCCTGCTTTGCAGGTGATTTAAGTGCTCCACTGTTAGTCTCACTGTAAGCTTTCTTGTTCCCTGAGCTCCAACCCAGAAGTGATGCTGGGGAAGATCAGGCAGCCTTCAGCCTTGCAGAGGGAAGACCTGAGGATGAGGACCTGTGATGCCTCAGTGTGGAAGGGCCTTTGCACTGGCAGAAATCCTGGTGAGCATGAGGTGAACAACCACATACAGAAGAACTGTTTTTCCTGCTTTCTGAGACTAGATGTAAAGGCAATTTCAGACACTGAAGAAAAAAATGTGCAGGTGTGTGTCTGAGGGAGAAAGGAAGAGAGGAGGCACTCAGCTGTGCAGGAAACCTGAGCTGAGCTGTGCTCAGCCCTGACCCTGTTTACTTAACGCCTTTTCTGGTAACTCCTGAAGAGCCAAGCACTGCAGTGGGAGGTTTGTGTGTTTGTGAGAGGGGGGCCCTGGAGGAGAGGTGCAGGAATAAAGCCCGGAGTGCAAAGACAAGGAGTTGAGGTAACCGTGTGTGGGAGATGGTTTTGGTGGAGGGGGCACAATAAAGAAGCCTGTGAGATGTGTTTTTCTCTCAAGAGTACAACAGAGGCCTGGGAAGGAGGGGGAGGAAGCTTTTGGATATAGCAGCAGCTTGGGAAAGGAAATGGGAATCTGAGCCAAGCATTAGGGAAACAAAAGTACCACAAAACAGTCAAATGACACCTGCGAACTGGGAGTGCTTTGAAAGTAATGCTGCACACAGCAGACACTTGTCACTGCTCCCCCTTTCCCTGTTCCCAGTCAATTCCAGGCACACAGCCTACTTCCAGCCTTCCCCTTCTGCTTCTCCCAAGAAAGGAAAAGAAAGGATGTAAGGTCTAGAAAGTCAAATAGACTGTCTTGTTTCTGCTGTCAAGGAAAGGTGTGGGAGCCCTGTGGCAGCAGCAGGTGGGAGGGCAGCTGGCATGGGGAGAGGAGGTGTTGAGAGCTGGGGTTGGGAATGACCAGGTTCTCACTAGAATTGGGATGAGACAAGTCTCCTGCACTATATAAATGGATTGGTTTGGGTCCCACCATGTGTTATCGTGTCTTCCCCTTATGGATCTGCAAAACAGCTTTGAGTGTCAGAAACAGCATCTTACTCCAACCTCTTGCTTTCACCTGGCACAGAACCTTCCCACCAAGCCTTGTGCTTGACGGAGCCTTGCCAGAAGCTGTGTTCACTTGGGAGAAATTTGCTTCCTCTAGGAATACGTGAACAGTACTCCAGGGAAAATTGAAAATTAAGAGGAAAAGATTGCTCTCTCCCCAATTCCTCAGCAGGTGAGCAGGAACTGGAGTGTGTGTTACCGGACTGTGCTGCTTTCCTGCCAGGCAGTCCCGCTCCCAGGAACTGCAGCTTCTCATGCCTGGAGGCCTCACCAGGATCCTGTGGTGCAGCCATTACCCAGTCAATGCTTTTACTGGTGTTAACCATCAGTTGTGAATCTTGGGACTGTTTCACCTTGCATGTGATTGTTTAAAATAGTAATTTATTGCTAGTGTTTTCCAAGGGACCCTCTTTCTCATTAGAATCTTGAGTGCATCATGTGTTGCTGGAGCTCACCCCTCTGCCCCTGGACACACCAGCCACTCAGTGATGCTGGGCAGGTAAACGGGGATGATTTTGAATATCCTAGTTCTAGTTTACGTGTTCTGTCAGGGTCATTTATTTCCATCAGTTCATCAGAACCGGCTTTGCTGTTACAGTGCTAGCCTCCTGCAATGCAGCAGCAATGTGGGCAGTCCAAAGGCTACAGCCAGTGCTGGACACGGCCTGTGTTGGTCTTTACTTTGCAGAATGCTTCATGCCAAAAATGTTTTGGTAAACATTTATTGATGCATAAGAGAGAGCTGTTAGAGAGAGACTTTTTTTTTTTTTAGAGGAGTACATTTCCTTAAAATGGTGATGAATTACTGCTTCTATTCTTGTATTAGTGTTACAAAACAAGGGCTGGTATTGCTCTTCGACTGTACACAGCCACAGCCTCTACACTGCAATCTCTCAAGTGTCCCTCATTTTGCCAAGGTGAACTATGGCCATCCATCATAAAATTAGGAAGGCCCCAAACCTCTCATTCATTTAAAGTGCCATAGGGCCTGAAAGTGCCCAGGCAGCTCCCAGGCTGATGACATTTCTCATGGCAAACAGAGCACAAGGTCCACATATAAAGGAAATTATTTAGCAACTGCTTTAAAAGAAACAAACAGCCCTGCCTCTCCCTTGAGCAGAGCAGAGCTGCCAAGACCTTGTTTTCAGCACTCCTGACAAAAGATTTTCCCTGTGAGGATTGTGGCTGAGGCTTGCCTACCGAGGCACAGCGCAGATCTTGTAGGGCTGTGGGGCCATCGTGATGCCCATCAGGGGCTGGAGGCTGAGTGTGGTGTCCGGGGGTGCCTGGAAGGTGAATTTCTGGAGCAGAGACGTAAAGAAGAGGAAGAGCTCGGAGCGGGCCAGCACCTCGCCCAGGCAGGCGCGCTTCCCTGCGGAGACAGCAACCCACGGCATCCTCAGACTGAGCTTTGGCTGCTGGAAATGCTTCTGCCTTCCCTCAGGACCATGGTCCATGATCCCTTCCCAGGATGAGTTTTGCAGCCCAAACTGAGAAGGTATGTGATGCTGGTATGGGAAACAGGGGTGCTAAAAGCCACCTCCCCAGGGAAGTTGCTGGCTGGGGTAGCCTGGGGTGGCAACAGTGAGGCCCCAGTGACCTCAGCCATGTGGGAGCAGGAGCACAGAGCGATGCTTCTGCCGTGGTGAAGGTGTTCCTGGGGTCCCTGGAATTATCAGGGATTTTTAGTCATCCTCATCTCCCTTCTCTGCATTTAAAAAGAGGTACAAGAAAGGGCTCTGAGTGTGGCTGTGGTGCTTTGGGACAACCACATGGCCACTGTTTGAGTGGCATCTCTCAACTATATCTGCCCTTCCCTTCCATGCAGTTGGAAACCTAAGCCTGGTGCCTCAGCATGAAAACACCACAATTCAGCAAATCTTACCCACAGAAAATGCCAGAAACGATTCTCTTTTCCAGAACTTCCCATCCTTCAGGAAATGCCCAGGGTTAAAAGTGTCGGGAGTTTCCCACTCATTCTTGTCAAACATCACAGAGGTTATATTTATTGTTAAAACAGTGCCCTAAGATGAGAAAAAGAAAAATAATTCACACTTTTGGTGGCACTGACAGCAGGAAGGGCAGTTTTATCTTCCAGTCTCTCCATGAGAAACATGCAGAGTCAAATTCTACTGCAATTATTTGTCTGACAACCCTTGAAGGGTCAGGGTCTCTTTGGAGGTGCGGTGATTATAGAACCACGTTTTCCCCTCATCAGCATCACTTTTGTCTGCTGTAATCTTGGGCCAGAGTTCCTGTAAGAGCCCTGTGAGCTGGGATCTGTGCCTCGAAGGTGTGCCCGGGGGGTGCGGCACCCTGGAGGTCTCTGCACCCTTTGGGGAGCTGGAGAATATTGGTTGGTTGGATGGCAAAAATCCACATTGAGCAGGAGTGAACTCTGGACAGGGCAGGGACAGTGTGTCTGTGCAGGAGGGACCTGGCCTGGTGAATCGTGCCTGGGGAGCTGGGAGTCTCCCTGAGGTCCCAGTGCTCAGGGTGAGCTTACCTTTGGGATGAAGAAGCCATCCAGGATCGTGTCCTTTGCCGCCATTCTTGGCACGTTGAAAGGGACAATGTTGGCTTTCCTCTGCACCTCATGGATGACAGCATTGGTGTAGGGCATGTTGTTCCTGTCCTCCAGCACTGGCTGCCGAGCCTGTCCGATGA